CAGTTTTGTGTAATGGGCGACTAAAGAGATGTTTTCCCCTGACATTCAAACATTCAGTGCTAAAGCCATCAAATATCTTTTTTCATTACCACAGGACTGTGTTTCCTTCCTGCCTTTTTTCGCCGTATCTACATCACTGTTGAAGTGGGAAAGACCTGATCTGATGCCCAAAGCTACTGCAGGTCGAAGTACAATGACCTGGCCACAGTTGAAAACCAGGAAGAGTCTGATCAGCTGATGGCCGCTACGGGAGGAAATTATAATGGTCACTTATGGATAGGACAGCTGGAGGTGGTCACTGGTGAAGGAGGGCCCATTTTTAAAAAACAGTTAGGCTAATATAAATAAATAATTTGATTTGTAGCCTACTGGATGAGACGAGCGCACTGCTGTTCATCAGAGGAAGAAAACCGAAACTGAAAACACTTGTGATCAGACAGAAATATCACCACAATTCCACACAAATATTCACTTTACCACCTCTGATAAAGTTCAGCTCACAGCCGCTTTAGACGGAATGAAGCATCTTGGAGCAGAGAGACAGTCAAACAGAGCAAAGTGTCTCTGAGGTGTTGAACAGAGACAGCAGGACACAGAGAACAGGTGTCAGTGTCACGATATTCTCTCACTACTTTGCGGTGACTGTCAACCGATTGTGTAGCATAGGCTATGCTCTGACTAGACACTGACTGACAACATTTATATTTAAATGTAGGCTATTTATTACAATTTTGCTGGGGACACTTCAGAAGTCGCGGATAAGCCCTGAAGCTGTGAGCAATGCGCTCTCTCTCCCTCTCTCTCTCTCTCTCTCTCCTCTCTCTCTCTCTCTCTCTCTCTCAAAACATCCGGGGAAGCCCCGGAAAAAAGACCTGGCGACGCCGATGGTGATGCACAAAGCCTGAATGTTGGCAGCTCTGGTGCTAACCTATGGTGTTACATTACTTAAAGGTTTTCTGGTCTGCCTAACTGCTAGCTCCTCACCTTCGCCTGTCAGACATATGGATGTCGCTTAAGACTTTTTTGCTTTTACTTCATTGCCTTCCTTTGATTTTATTTTTCTCTGTGTAATTTGGCTTTTCTTTTCTGAGCCCATGACTCCTGAAGTCCACTGACTCCGGGTACGGCACGTTGCGGCTGCGCCACAGTTTTGATGCATCCATAGCCAGGGGTCAAAGTTCACTGGGAGTATCTCAGGAGCGTTTCAGCAACGGAGCGTGCTGCCCCATGTTATTCACTTGTTATTAATTTGTCCTTTTTGTTCTTCTGCTACCTTCTTCACAGCTCTCTGTGACCGAATTCTCTATGCCGTTCTGTGTCTGACTTCCTGCCCGGTTCAATCTGCTCTGTGCTGCTTGACGCGGCTTCTGTCCAAAATAGACTGGCTACCTATTCTCTGTGAAGCAGAGACCCGCTTCTGGGACTCACTGCTGCTGCGTCTGGAGGACTCACATGCATGAATGGCTCAGAAGTGTCCCAGAAGCGTCTCTCCGCTCCGCAGAGAATAGGTAGCAGGTCTATTTTTGCCGCTAGCCGCTGAAATGCTCCCTGTGGGAAATGCATTCTGAAGTTGACGGAACGAAACGGGGGTCTCTCTCTGACTCACTCAGTACTGAGTGTTTTGGCTGAGTGATCCTCCTTGTGAGTGTGCGGTGCACCCTCGCCCACAGGACGGTGTGGGGGGGCGGGCCACGCTGCTTACATGGCCCTGCCTTGTGCGGGGCCCCTCACCCAGTTTGCCGACTTACGCATGGGTCGGCCCTCGGCGAGCAGGTGAGTTGTGCTTGGTGGTACCATATGGGCCAGTGAGGCGTTGACTCATCCTGCTTCGCCTGTAACCCAATAGCGATAGCCTTAGAGGGGCGAAGCCTATACGAAATAGAACAGGGGTTACCTACTGTAACCCAGATTACATGAGTATAGGCGCAGCCCTCTAAGCTGAAGGCCTCACTGGACCTTGGTTCTCAGTGCTGAAGAAAAGGCATTTGAGAGCCAAAGGCTAGGTCTCACCATTGTATATATACAAGGTGCGGACGTAGGAGAGGCCCATGCTGTGGGTGGGCGTAGACTAAAATTCTCAGTGCCGCGCAGGCGCGCAGAAGGGCTAAACCCAATAGCGATAGCCTTAGAGGGCTGCGCCTATACTTATAGAATCCGGGTTACAGTACGTAACCCCCGTTCCCTTGTGTTAGTGGGTCCTGTCCTGCACATCTTCAGTGTTGCGACCGTACCATTTTCACAAAAACAGCAGGGGTGGGTTATCAGATGACAAGTATGAAATATGTTTTAATGATAATAATACATGTAGTTTTCATGTAAATACATATGAATTAAATCTCTGGCCAATGATCTGATCAGTACAGGTATGGATCGTTATCTGGTCTGTGGCCGTGTTTGTGTGCATTAATGTGATAGGTGTCTGAAGACTATGAAACACATACATAAAAATGGAACAATATGACAAAAAGCTGAAATGAGAATTTAAAGAAAGTAAGTGTGGTATGTGCACTATTACACATAAAGTGAGCTGCTTACAACTAGTATTGAATTATAGTATTTGTGATACCCGTGAATATTTATATGTAAATGTATATACATTTTGTGCCAAACGGACACACATATCTAACAGTAATATTTTTTTAAATGCATAATGTTTCATATCCCACCTCAGTCAGTAGGTGGCTCTGTAGCGCACACAATGCAAACTGACCTGTAAACTGCGAAGACTTCAGGGTGTTATGTAACAGTCACTGACCTTCTGCTCTGTCAGAGGAAAGGGAACTAGAGTAAAATGGTGCCTCCCATCATTTACTGTACAGAATGTTAAATTAGGCTACAGTAAGTACCAGTAACAGTCAATATCAAGTCTACCTGAGCAAGAAGAAAATCTCCACACTGTAGCTCTCTCTCCTCTTTTCTCTGTTTTGTAATAAGGAATAAATAAAGAATGTTTGTGTTTCTCAGTTCCGTCAGACACTGAGCGATAACATGAAGCTGACATGGAGGAAGCAGCCTGATGGAAAGATCTTCCACTTGGAAGAAAAAGAGGAGAAGAAGAAGGAGAACCAGGAGATCAGCTGCAACCTGAACTGATTTCTTTCCTTTTCTTTTTATTTTGTCAATTTTGTGTGGAATGTTCCTGAATTGAGAGATACAGCTTGTTACATTGACTATAAATGACACTTTAGACACCTTTCATTTATTACATTAAGCCTTAATCACATTTCTGCATAGATAGTATCAGGGGTAAAGTTTTAGTAATTGTGCCCTTACATTAATAACTTGTATGCATATTTTAAGGTTTATATGCACAATAAGAAAACATGCAATGCATTTTAAATATAGAAGAAACAAATGTGCACTGTCCAAAAAAGTAACTCAAGCTAAAAAAAAAAACATACTGCTGATTACAGCATTATATTCTGTTATATTTTTATAGTTATGAATTATCACCTGCCAGCAGAATTTCAGTTTCCCTTTAAAAAGGAGGACCCTCAGACCCCCGCTTATATATTTCTGCATTTCCTGTTTCTTCAAAATAGAGTTAAAAATCTTCTCATCTCTTTCTCTTGCATTGTCACATCTCGTGACTCAATCACTCCCCTGATCTGAGCCCTCATGTTCCCACCGCGTTTCAACACAAACGCCCTTTTTATTACTTGTTTAAATGTGGTAAGAACGGTTCACTAGTGACTACCCTAATCATCACCACAGTTTAATGTGTACAGTTGTTTGCTCAATTATTTGTCAACATTTTTCAAAAAATGCATGAGAAACAGGGACCAAGAGATGAAGGAGGCCCTCAGAGACTGCTTGTTTCTCTGTTCCCCTCATTGTGTGCCAGTTCATCTTTGTCATTAGACCTTATTAGACCTGCTGTTAACATCTAGACATTCCATTGTATGAGTTACGTGTGTATTTTTTATGGAGACTCCTTAATTAAAAGGAAAACTGCGATTGTTCAGAATTTTTGTTAATTTCATAGCCATGATAACACTGCACACACAAAATAAGCATACTTAAAATTTATAATAATAATGTTCGTGGTGATTAAAACCTACTTTCACATGGTGGTTTAATGTAAAAACTTTAGTTTTTTTGCCAGGAGGGGGTTTACAGTCACAATGCCGGCTCAATGTTGTGATGTCAGATGGCATCCTCTATTGGCCCAACCCTAATATAAATAACTATATTGTTATCATTTTTAATATAGGCCTACATTTAATTATTTGTTGAATTATACGTGTGTGTAGCATGAATGTGACTTGTGTTGTATTATTAAGCAATAGCTCACGACAGGCCATGGTATACGCTTATTATCACTATATCACTATATCACTGCTATGAACCAATCAGATTGCTTGATTTGAGCTACCCGTTTTATAATGATAAATGAACAGTACAGTAGCCGACACTGGAACCTGAACTGCACTCTCCACAAGAACCATCCAACTGGACTTTGTGAGCATCGTCAGGTAGCGTAAACAGTAGAACATGTACCTCAGAAAGAAAGGACATGATGGAGGGAAGAAAATGATCAGGGCTAAAAGCAGGTTGAAGGGCATAGCATAACGTGTGGTGCAAGTGGACAGGGTAGGAAGGGAAAACCTGACAACCTGGACTCTGTAGGCATTAAATAACTCCAGAAGATCGCAATAAGGCAACAGGATACAAGCTGCCGTTAAACCCAAGAAATTGTCTTGATCTGTCTATATTGTTTTTGTTTTTGTTTATGGTGTGTAACCTAGGCTATATATGTGTTCATTAAACTGTAGTGTGTGTCAGATTCATCATCCTGAGCAATGTACGACCCAGAGTCAGATTCCTCATATGTGTCCACATATCTGGCAAATAAAGCTGATTCTGAAACAATAAATAGTTCCCACTCCAGTCCATTTGCTGGCGGTAATGCACCTCTGAGCTGGTTTGCCAACCGCCACTAAACAATACAGAAGAAGACGTTCCCACTCCAGATCAGTGGGTGGCGGTAATGCGCCGAAAGCTGTTTGGCAACCGACGATCAAACCAAAAGAAGAAAGAAGAAGCGTGAGTGAAAGGCGGAACAAGCGGCCCTACAGGGGGAACAAAGGACCATTGAGTGAGTGGGTTAACGTTGTTTTCTACTTATTTATTGGCTTTAAAAACAGTTTTTGAACCATTTTGTAAGGGCCATGTAAAAAAAACTTAAAATAATTTGTTTTATCATTGGCACACTTAGCTATATGAAGTGTAGCTTGTAACGCAGTGGTAGCGGGAGCTCGTATTGTCCGTTAGCCGGATGCTAGCTGCAAGGTTTATTCAAACATCCCGCAACGGTTGAACACTTCAGAAGTGTTTGACTGCGTGTTTTCTGTGTTTGCTGTTTTTTTAAGAGCTAATCTGCATCAGAATCCTTTGAATTAGATAGCAGCTTCGTCGTTATTATGGAGCAAATGGTGACTTTGTGTGTGCAGGTTTGGCTAGAAGGCCAGGCCGAGTAACGTTAAGCTAGTTTTTCAAGCCCCGTCAGCCATTGTCGTCTTTAATTGTTATCGGCCTTAGAAAGTCATCTGCCGGTGTCTTTTTGTTGTCCGCCAAACGACAAATTTTTTTAAAAAGTGGAGTGATTGTAGTTGGGTTAACTTGTGTAACTGATCTTGTTTGTTTTTCCGTTCCAGGTTAACTAGTATGGGAAAAGCCTGCTCTCCGTAGCCCAGTCTGCAGCCGCGATGTCAAGTAAGTAAACAAGTTCACTTCACTGGTGACTTAATGGTGATCATAGTATTAGAACAGGGAGAACTTGAGACCTATATATAATTTACAAACGTTACCAGAGAATAGTAAACACTTTCCCTTTGCTTTCTGTCACAGCCCGTGCCCTAGATGTGGGTGTGTGGTATAAACTCAACACTATAAAAATCAATTCAAGAAGAAAGCTGCAATCAGTGATATCATCAAAATGGCAATAACCCCCCGGTCCATAATTGTTTATATCATATAAACAATCACAGATGAAAATGTAGCTTGGAAGTTAGAAGCCCCTCATTCAGGATCCGGTCCAGTGTTCAAAGACTCACATCTGCCAGTTCACCAAAGCAGAGTGGTCCTAAAAAGAAGTAGGCAAAGTTACCTTCCGTTAGTGCTTGCTAAAAAATGGATGCATGTGATTTTTTTGTATGCATATTTAAAGACTAGTTTAAAAGTATTTTTCATTAAGGGAGATGGCTTAATTTCAGTCTAGTTTACTCTACCGTGCAGCCGTTTCACAGCAACATTTTTGTGAGCGGCAAGACGACTGATGCCGGGATGAACAACAAGATATTGACATTCTGGGGTGATCCGAGCCAGTCAGCAGTACTGGGCTTTGAGCTGATAAGATTAAGAAAAAATTATAAATGGGTTTGTATCAGTGTGAAGATGATTTGTTTTTATTTGGTTATGTGTCTATAGAATGATTTAAATGAATAAAAATCTCAACATTATTACTGATGTTTATCATCAATATGTATTAATGTAAAATTATGATAAATACTCATAATAATTACTCATCCCCAGTACAGTACTCCCCCTGAGCAGCTACTCCAGACTAAATTTTCTTAAAACAGCCTGAGTCTCGTTTTAGTGCTTAAAAAAAAAAAAAAATCAACTGTGATGTGAAGCCATCAGGTTTTTGTGGGTCTTGGTCATAGCGAGCTGCAGAGCCTCCCTGCTGCCTGGCCCCTCACAGCTCTGTCAGCTGAAGTGACGATCACACTGGATTGCAGTAAAGGAAGTGCACCAGCGTCCACGTGTAGCGTAGCTGACCCCAGGAGGGTTATTTCGTGAAGCTGCGCGCAGCAGAGGAGCACTCACAGTAGGTTGTTTTAATAGCTGACTGTTATGTTTTTCTTTCATGCACAGAACGACCATCCTACGCCCCTCCCCCTCCCCCCGCCCCGACAACAGTAAGTGTCCGCCACTCAGGGCCATGTTGGCTCTGTCCACTCTTTTCGGTTGCTTTTTATCTTTCTCTCTTGCTGTCCTACTCCCTCTTTCTCCACGTTCTGTTGCTTTGATTTTATTTCTCTCTCTGTCTGAACACATGGAAGTTGCCACAAATGTGTGCAGCTCTTGTTCCTGCTTTTTCCTGTCACGCCCCCACTTATTTAAAGTCTTGCACAGAAGGGGTTGATGTGCCCCGTGCTTTAACGACACGTTAATGCTATTGGGGAACAAGTTTCTTTGAAATCTGATCCTTTTTTTATGTTAAATTTCAAACTTACAGAATCAACATGCTTTTCCGGTGCTTTTCATTCATTAGCAGGGGCACGTCACTGTGTAAAGTAGAAATGCAATGGTTCGGTCCGGTGGCTAATCACATGCAACTTGTGCTTAATAGTGTGTGACCTGAGCTTGTTGGCAACGTTCACATGCTGTGTCCTGCTGGCCGATTGCCTTTATTTATTTTTTGCCTTGCATGATGACGTCACGAAAAACAAACAAGCAAAACTATACATATATTTTCATGTTTTCCCCCTTTTCACTTATTTATGTTTATCCCTCTTCCTCCTCTTGTTTGTGAGCCATTTCTCATTCGTGTTTTGTCTCATTTGTCTTCCATCAGCAAATGCCTTCCACCCCGGGGTTTGTGGGCTACAACCCTTACAGCCATCTGGCCTACAACAACCTCCGGCTGGGAGGGAGCTCCGGAGGCTCCAGCAGGGTAATGAATTAAAAAAAAATTAAAAGCGGAATAGGGGATGGGTGCAGGATAAGAGGGAGGGTAGTAACAAACAGTTTTGGGCTAAATATAGGGGTACACATATGGGGGAAAGTGGAAAGAAAGGAGCATAAAAAGACACACAGTCTGATTAAAGTCTTGGTCTTCTAGATAGTAGAATGACCACTTAATTAGGCTTTAATAATGTGGGAGTAACTAAAAAACAACAAAAAAAAGGAGTCGTTTCTTACAAACGCCTCATTTTTAGCTCCCACTGTTTCCTTTTGGGGCTCAGTGTGATGCAAACCGCTCTGATTGGCTAACAGGTTTTTACTCATTTAGAGTATTGGTTTATTTTGCTGCTTAAACCTCCCAAGTGAATGTGGTTTGTAGTAGCTAACAAAATATTATTAGGTTCCTGTGTATGGTATCACAATAATTGTGACTTTCAGAGTTTTTAATGACTGAACTACAGTACTTTTAAGTCGATTACATCAAACTCACCTACTGCCAGTCATTAAGGAAACATTTAAAGACAAATGTATATGTTTGGTTTTATATGCTTTTTAGGGTGTTTTATTAGTTTGTATTTTTACTGGCCAGTCAGAGCTGTCTTAGCACTGTGCGCGGCCTTTAAAAGCACAGCGCTCTGCCATTTGTGGATGAGAAGACAGACAAGTGTCATCAGTTTTTCCCTTCCCCTCTTTAAATGCAAAAGTAGTGAAATTGCTCCTTTTTTCTGGCAAGTAGACGTGTGTGACCTTTTGAGATTTGTGCACAGCTGTCCCATCTTAGGAGATGTGAATAAAGTTTGAGGTTTTTATGGAAAAAGTGAATGAGTTCTGGGTATTACAGGCCAGAACTTATAATATTTTCACTTGTTTGTGAATTCTTTGTGAAGGTTGCATTTAAAGACAGAGATTTTCATCTTCGCCCAGCCCTCACGGTTCTTCAGATGTAGAGGAAACACAAACAGGAATGCACAGATGGAATTATGCCTGATTTTAGTTCCTGGTGTTTCACCCACAAAACTCATAACCCCCACCCCCCCACCCCCATTTATATGCCAACTGTTTTCCCCTTTTGTAATTTTAACTCCTGTTTGGACAGCATCTGAAATACTTGAAGCCATTAGATGCTGAAACTTCACTGACATCCATACATGCATGTAAATGAATTGCCGTGCATCAGAAATGCATTTATCCAGCTGTTAGAAAGCATTCAGGACCACTTAAGAGTTTGTATTGTCATGTTTACATGTACACTTCTTATTTTGCCTTTACACGGGCCTCACCATGCTCAGACCATAATCAGCTGATGTTTTTTCACCGTGTTTTTCTCTCTAAACTTCTGTCCCCTTTATGTTTTGTTCCCCCTCTGTCTACATCTCCTTATTCACACCTTTCTCCCCCTCTTTGTCCCCCTTCTCTCCCTCTCTGCCTTCCTTCCACAGAACTCCTCAGGCATCACCGTGCCAAAGCCTCCCAAGCCTCCAGACAAGCCACTGATGCCTTACATGCGGTACAGCCGGAAGGTAAGCAGGAAGGTAAGACACCCATCCACGGTGTCTGCTTTTACTGCTTGTCCTCCCATCCCCTGAAAAGTTGCAGGGGTTTTAGGGTGGGAAACAGCTGAGCCATGACGCCTTCACCACCACCTCAGCCACCTAGTGGAGAGTCTGTCCTCCCACTGGTTTACAGTAGCCTCTTGTGTAGAGAAATGACATCTCCCTGCGTTTCCTTTTGCAAGCATGATCTGCTCCTGCCTTCATTTCCCCCTCCTTTCGTGCTTGTCGGTTTGCCTCTTCTCTAGGTGTAGAGCATTTAAACATTGACATAAAGACAAAATCTACTCTAAAATTTCATGTTGACAAAACTGGTGATTCTGTCTTTTGGACATTTCATTCCATCCATCCAGCATTTTTGCAACACTTAATGCGCTTTACCGTCATGGTAATTATTGGAGCTAATGTTCTGTTTCCTTATCACTTTTCTTGCTTTATTTCCTTTACTGTCCATTAGTAACTTACCATTCACTGCAGTATCCCTGTAATGACCATATGTTTTTTGTGTGTGCGTGTGTGGGGCATTGCTCCTGTTTGTACATGTGTGTTTGCGTCCTGCGTTTGTGCGCACCTGCAAGGTATGGGACCAAGTGAAGGCATCCAACCCGGACCTGAAGCTGTGGGAGATTGGAAAGATTATCGGAGGGATGTGGAGGGACCTGACTGACGAGGAGAAACAGGACTACCTGAACGAGTACGAAGCTGAGAAGGTGAGCCGGCCGAAGTGTCCTAAATACTGCTGAGGTTCCGATTTGCACAGTGCTGTCTGTAGTTTGTAGTACCCCTCAGTGTTGCTGGTCGTCATAGCAACGCCACACACAACTTCCGCGACGTAATGTTCAATGCGACACACACACCAGCGATCCACACAGCTTTCTCTTTAAGTTAAAACGTTTCAGCCTTCCTCAGAATGTAAAGACAGATAAGCGGTATGAAAACCTTCCAGCTGTGTTTTCCTCTGCTGTTGTTGCTGCAGCGGTCTGTGTGACAGCGGGAGCAGAAGGCTCTGTGAGCGGGCGGCTGGCCGGCCTCACACGCTCCTCCCGCGGGTCGGCGCAGGCTTCCCCTCGCAACCACTTGCAGAGCTCCTCAAGTGGATTTAGTTATGAAATTCTATAGGAAAACTGTAAAATATAAAACTTTCTGTTGGGCGGCTGTGGCTCAGGAGGTAGAGCGGGTTGGCCGTTAATCGGAAGGTCGGCGGTTCAATCCCTGGCTCCCCCTGGTTGCGTGTCGAAGTGTCCTTGGAACCCCGATTTGCCCCTGGCGGCTATTCCGCCAGTGTATGAATGAGTGTGAATGTTAGTTTCCGTTTGAGCACTTAGGCTCAGTGTATGAATGTGTGTGACTGGTGAATGCAGATGTAGTGTAAAAGCGCTTTGAGTGGTCGAAAAGACTAGAAAGGCGCTATACAAGTACGGAGCATTTACATTTACAGCATTTACATACATTTTAGCACTCAGGTCTACTCTGATCCATTTAACTGTCAAAAGCCAGCACTTCTGCACTCTCCTCCCCTATTTTAAATTTTTTTTACTATGGCTTGGGGATCAAGAACTGGTTCCAAGTTTGTACAGTTACCACATTTCCAAGAACTTATCTGTCAGAACCTGCTACACCGACGAAACATCACTTCATAACGCAGTACATCAACAAAGCATGAAGAGGATAGAACTTCTGTTTACATTCCTGGACCATGACAAATGTTTTTGTTTTTTTTTTTTTCTTCATTAACAAATCTGCAAACTTAAGAACATATGAGGGATAACAATGGTTGTATTATTTGCGTGCTCTCTCCCCGTCTCAGATTGAGTATAACGACTCTTTGAAGGCGTACCACAACTCGCCAGCCTACCTGGCTTACGTCAACGCCAAGAACCGGGCCGAGGCTGCTATGGAGGAGGAGAGCAGACAGAGGCAGAGTCGTATGGACAAAGGAGAGCCGTACATGAGCATTCAGCCCGCTGAAGACCCTGATGGTAGGTTTGAGATCGTGACTGTTTAAATTCATGTAAGTGTTTAATGATGGCTCAACATGAATAGAAGCCCGTGCTTTTATAATGAGAAAGCACTGAAAGTTTTTAGTTTTTTGCCCTTCAAAGCATATAAAATGGTTTGAAGGTAATTTTAGGATGTCTTCACAACATGTAAATGGAAGCAGTGCTTCCCTCCTCCTCACGGTGGTCAGTTAATTGTCCTCGTTCTGCACTATCCAGACTACGACGATGGTTTTTCAGTGAAGCACACAGCAGCCGCTCGCTTCCAGAGGAACCACCGGCTCATCAGTGACATCCTCAGTGAGATTGTGGTGCCTGATGTCCGCTCGGTGGTCACTACAGCCCGCATGCAGGTCCTTAAGAGGCAGGTCCAGTCCCTTATGGTGCACCAGGTAAGCTGAACGGACTTTCTCTGGCATCAGGGCCCAGAGAGTGTGTGAGCTGAGAGGAGCTCAGTAGCTTTTCTTTCCTCCTTCTGTAAAAGCTTTGTTATTGGAGAATGTTGTCCTGTGCACGGTGAACAGATGTCAGCTACTAATGTACACTCAGTGTGTCTCACCTGTGTCTCATGTGTGTGTGTTTCAGAGGAAGCTGGAGGCAGAGCTTCTGCAGATAGAGGATCGCCACCAAGACAAGAAAAGACGCTTCCTGGAGACCACCGACTCATTCAACACTGAACTCAAGCGGGTACAGCAGCACTTACCTAGATATCCAGAATTTGGAATAACTACAGATCTGTGTTATTCAATTACCTCAGAACTAAATATGTACCTGAAAACAAGAGGATTATTACTAATGCGTTGAATTCTCAAATGCTCTTCACCTCACTTTATTTCATGTGTGCGTCTGTTCCTGCTACTTTGCCTTCACTTTCATGCCTGTTTAAGGCTCATTTGTAAATGGATAGTTGATTTTTTTTTTTTGCTTCCCTTGTCTCCAGCTGTGCAGTCAGAAGGTTGAGGTGGACATGGAGAAGCTAGCAGCAGAGATGGCTGCTGCTGAAGAGGCGGCCAGGCGGCGGGCGGAGGAAAGAGAGCGCGAGGTGGCCGAGCAGGCAGAGAAAGCTGCTCAGCAGCAGCAGCAGCAGCAGCAGCAGGAGGCTGCTGGAAACAAAGCTGCTGAGCAGAGCAGTGCTAATGCTAGCAACACAGCTGACCCCAGCTCAGGGACCAAGGAGGAGGACAAGCCCACACCAATGGAGACAGGTACCTACATGGTTTAACAGATGGTTTTTGTTTATAAATCTAAGATTTGTGTTGCTCTTTAATTACAAGCAAATTAAACATTCACACAGAATCTGAAGTGAACTCAAGTTAAGCTTTTTGTTACATTACCATGAAAATGGCTCTATAAAAGTGTCATTAATTATTTGCTCTCCTATGAAGTCAGAAATCCACTTTGTAGTTTTAATATAATGAAGAATGAATTCCTGGGGTGAACACTTATAAGTCGCTTTCATCATGAAAGAGCTTCTTATCTGGTTTAGATTTAAGTTGTAAGGGTTAAACTTTTTAATTTGCTTTACTGTGTAGCGGTTCCACTGTTGCACCAGTCGTTTGTGTTTCAAAAGCTATTATGGTGCTTTCAGACCAGAAGTGAGCGTTTGGGGCGGTGAGTTTACATTACATTTATTCATTTAGCTGACACTTTTATCCAAAGTGACTTACAATTGCTATACATGTCAGAGGTCGCACGCCTCTGGAGCAACTAGGGGTTAAGTGTCTTGCTCAGGGACACAATGGTGGATGGGTCACAGTGGGGGACTGAACCCGGGTCTCTCACCCCAAAGGCATAGTCTTATCCATTGCGCCATCGCCACCCCAAATACAAAGTCGATGCAAAGACGCGTAGAGCCACGATTTCCTGTCGGGCGGCGCAAAGGCAGTTGAATATTTTCAACTCAAGCGAAGAAGTGTCATGACGCTGAGTCGCGATAGCCTATCAGTGTTGAGATTGTCCGTACGTTACCGAGGCTTCCGAGCGTTGTGTGGAGAGGGCCGGGCAGAGCGGGGGATTGAAAATCTGCAGGCCGGCTGAGAGCTGCTAAACGTGGGGGAGAGGAGCAGGGAGCGGCGCTGCAACTATTGGACAAATAAACCCCTGTAGTCGGTCGGATTCTGCTCTGACAGCTACGCCGTTTACTCGCGGGAGGAGCTCTGCTTTTATTAAATTAGCTTTTTACATTAGTTTTTGGGATTTCAACGTTGATTTATCTTCACTGGAGCTTCTCAGCAGCTAGCTTCCGTTCATATCCGGTTCCACTGTTGTTAGCGCCGTTAGCTCTGTCGGACTATGACTTCATATTTATATAAAAACTGGACATTACTTCGAGAAAAGAGAGGAGGTTGAACTACCTGGTGAGTTCAGAAAACATGTCTGTAACTGTATTCCAGCTATCGTTGTACTTTACTGTGACCAAGTTAGCATAGCGTAGCCCTGATCGATCCAAACTCCATTCAGAAAACAAACATTTTAGAAGTTGTTGTCTTGCTGACAGACCTGACAAAGCACGAATTCATATGTTTAACAAATCTGCATCATGTTGTAGTTATCTCGGCATCAGTTTAATCAGTTAATTGATATTTAATCACAGCAAAATGTTTACTTCGCGTTCATACAGTTGTAGTAAAGGCGAGTTGTGTTTATACACGTTATCGCGTTGAAATCGCCTTGTCGCGTTGTGTGTGTCAACACTTGCAGCGAATGCACTCACGCGAGGAAAGTGTCCCGAGGCGAAAATTCGCGGTTGGTATGAATGCGGCAATACTAGTGATGACAGAGGAGCTTTTCATGTCGCAAACCTGGCAACAAAAAATGAATAATTATCTGTATCGAAAGAAAGGAATATTTTTATCCTGATAACATTTTTTGCCACATCACCAGCCTTATTTGTAACAGTATTCATAGTAGCTCTTGGTTTATCAATATGTGACTGCACTGCAGATTGACATCGATATATATAACATTTAGTTCGTCTTAGTTTAAACACCTAACATTACCCACAATGCAACACAGCCACAAACTGGGTGTATTATGCTAGTAGCAGCTAATGTAACATCAAACACACGTAAGGAGCGAGCTACAGACGTCTAAGCTGCCTATATTTTTCTCAACGCGAAAGGTCCTGATTTTTTTCACTTACAGACTTGTAGTTTCCAGACCCAGCTGAAATCACGAGACCATTTATCAGACTTCACACAGCGCCCCCTGGAGCCACGAGAGGCTTCATACTACTTGTGTCAGGCGAGCAGTCTACTCCCCAACACCTGTAAACAAACTGACGGTGTGTAAAATTGGTGGAGTTCCCCCTAAAGCATCTCTGTCTGTGTCCTTCATCCCCTCCCCAGATGAGGCGCCGCATGCAGAGCCCTCCGCAGACCCCCAGCCTGCTCCACCTCCTCCATCTGACCCCTCCTCTTCTGCCTCTGATAAAGCGACCCCTCCCCCTGAGCCCCCCAGGGAGAGCAGCACTCCTATCAGCAGCGCCCCCAGTGAAGACAGCAGCAGCAGCAGCAACAACAGCATGCCCCCTCCTTCCTCAGAAAGCACCCCCGGAGCGGCAGCCCCAGCAGCCTCCGAACCCCCAGCAGCGCAGGAAGCCAATCCCAGCGCCGCTAACCCTAATGCATCCGCAGCACCTCCACCGCCTCCTGCCTCAGAAGAAGGAGCCCCTCCACCACCACCTCTGCTACCCCCCAGCCAGAGCAACCAACAGTATGAAATGTAATAGTCTGTTAGATACAGCGGTAGCTATAGACGTCCTCCCCGTGCTGCCGCTCTCCTGCCTTCCTCCTCTGGATGGCGTAGCCGCGCTGTAGTTGTGCAGCAGTTGTGGAAGAAGTGGGACTCGTACGGTGGATCTAAAAACAGATCTTGTGAATGAGAAGTGCTGAATGGGTGAGGGTCTGATGGTATGCTCAATAAATAATTAACATGTATTTCACACGAGTGATGTAAGGGGTTCATCATCCAGCCTCATATAGCTGGACCAAACAAGGCCCTGTAGGTGAAAGTAGGATTTCCCCTTAAATCTGCATAAGTTTCCTTTTAAATTTACCCAGCATGCCTGGTTTGATGTGAGTGAATGAATTGAAACGTCACCAAAGAGTACAACATTTGATCTGACTGTTTGTGCTCCAGGTACAGTACCAGCCATTCCTCTTTTCTCATCATGTCACTAGTTTTTTTTTTTTTTTTTTAGGAGACAAGTGGTCTGTGTTAACCTCACTGGCTGCTCAGACGTCATGTACAGGTGTCTTAACTCAACACCTAACCTCACTGTTACCTCTGTCTGCTTCTGTTTATTTACCAAAATCTATCAGTTAATCCTCAGATACGTTTCCAGTTGGCGGGGTCCATTCACAACATTAGCATCTAAACTGACCTTTGACCCCGACTATCTCTGCGTCAAAACAGATTCTCCATGGCACTGCAACAAACGATCATTTTCATTAACAATTAGTCAATAAAATGTAAATGTCTTGATTTGTTTGACCAACAGAGATTCAGTTTAAGTTGACATTTAACAGAGAAAAGCAACAAAGTCTCACATTTGAGACGGCTGAGTTGCAGAAGATTTGGAATTTCACAACTTTTGCTTGAAAAAATGATTGAAACCACCAATCAGCTGTCAAAACAGTTGGTGATTCACTTCCGAGCTGTAATTCTACACCACCGCTGCCTCGCTCCCACTGTTTCAAGCTGCGACGATGTGTTATTCCAAATGACGGGTCTTTGACAGGAGGTGCTTGTAGGGAGAAGCCGTGCTGATGGCTCTTTCATCCACATGGTTCAAATGCAAACCTCTAACAACCCACTGCGTAGACTCTGGATTGTTGGATGTGGCGGAAATGTTTGAATTCCATACCTGTGTAGTGCTCAGCGTGGATGTATAAACCTTTAAAATCAGCCCTTCTATATATTTTTTTTTTAAATGAGACCACAGCTGCAAACTCAAGGGGTTTTAGTACGTCACATAACTTAATGTTCAGACTGAATTGTCTGAAAGCTCAGTGTATGTTCTAGTGATAAAGGGCGACCTCGCATGAAATAATAATAATCAAAACCATGAAAGCCCCTTCCCCCCATTTAAAACCTCAGATTTTTGTAGTTCATAAGTTTGTGTGATTTGCAAAAACTACTACTGTTACTACTACTTTGTTTTTAGAGTGGAACCTTTTTAGATGAATACAGTTGAATTCAGCCTTCGTATTGACCCTGAACTTCTGACTTACATGCCGTTTCTAACATGTTTCAGTTTGACTGGGGGGGGGACTCATCTTGTGGCAGTGCAGATGATTGTTTCCAGGTGTGACGTGAGCATGGATGAAGGCACATTTTAATTATTTGCGCACCCACATTCTGCATGCTAAATACTAACCATAAACCTGCAAGCATTTGAACACTTACTGAAGTCTTGTTCAAAGAGTTGAGGCTGAGGTAAACTGTTTGAAATGTAAAAAGTGCGGGGCAAAACACACAAGGTGTGCAAGGAGGGGGGGAAAAAATGAAATGATGGGCATGTCTCCAAGGTGCTTTTTAAAATCTGTGGATGATAAACTTGACGTGCTGTACTTGAGTGTTTCTTCCCTTGGATTCGTCACGTTTATGAAAAAATAACAGACATACTCAATTAGCAGTTATTCTGTAAGAGCTTCTCTACAAGTTGAGGTTACTTTTTTAAAGACTTTCCTCCTTTAGACTGCATATTCCTGTTGACGCCACGAGCATAAAGTTCAGCAGAGACATGCACACGCTACCCTCATCCAAATGTAACCTCAGTTACTTGTGCATTTAAAGGACTGTTTTTTTTACTTGAATTGGACTGTTTGTAGTAATATGCCTCTGTTTTTTTGCATCTTTCTTTTGTACTGTCTGAACTTCTCTATCCAAATAAAGATGATTTCTCAGTCTTTCAACCTCTTTGTGTGTTACCGGTTTTCTTCAAAAATCTGATTTTATTTCTTTTTAGATGGGTATTATTTTATCATGGTTGTCCACTGTAGGTCTACATCATAAATTTTCAAAGTAAGTGATTGTACAACTACACCCGAAATCATAATTTGGACATTTTCACTTATGGGTGTACTTTTGTTGCCAGCTGTTCAGACATTAATGGCTATGTGAGGTGTTATTTTGAGGGGACAGCAAATTTACACATATATATATATACACACAAGCTGTGCACTCACTACTTCACACTGTAGCAAAGGGTAATTTCTTCAGTTTTGTCATGTGAGAAGTAAGACCGTAAAAGTAAGCAGCAGTAAATGACCTCTACTTGAATCGACCCACAAAAAGAAAAACATGCAACAACTCTATCAGCTGTCTCATTTTCAGTTGCTACCTTGGTATGCTAATTTTCAAACTGAACCTTATACCTGCTTTACCTACACATCATTGAACTACATTGTAATTATTAAATATCATAAGCCATATAAATATGTTTAGTTATTACTTATAATAATTAACGCTGATAATAGTAATGGAGGTGGGGAGCCTTCCCCTGAGAAATTTGGGCTTTAAACACTTCATTTCCTGCATTCTGCACCAATTTATTGAGAAAATGTCTTTATTTATATAAAAAAGGAAACAAAATTCAGGTGACAGTTTAAACAAAAATATAGTAGAATACACTGCTCAAATAAATAAAGGGAACACTAAAATAACACATCCTAGATCTGAATAAATGAAATAATTCATTAAATATTCCTTTCTTTACATAGTTGAATGTGCTGACAACAAAATCACACAAAAATTATCAATGGAAATCAAATGTATCAACCCATGGAGGTCTGGATTTGGAGTCACACTCAAAGTCAAAGTGGAAAACCACACTACAGGCCGATCCAACTTTGATGTAATGTCCTTAAAACAAGTCAAAATGAGGCTCAGTAGTGTGTGTGGCCTCCACGTGCCTGTATGACCTCCCTACAACGCCTGGGCATGCTCCTGATGAGGTGGCGGATGAACTCCTGATGAACTCCTCCCAGACCTGGACTAAAGCATCCGCCAACTCCTGGACAGTCTGTGGTGCAACGTGGCGTTGGTGGATGGAGCGAGACATGATGTCCCAGATGTGCTCAATTGGATTCAGGTCTGGGGAACGGGCGGGCCGGTCCATAGCATCAATGCCTTCCTCTTGCAGGAACTGCTGACACACTCCAGCCACATGAGGTCTAGCATTGTCTTGCATTAGGAGGAACCCAGGGCCAACCGCACCAGCATATGGTCTCACAAGGGGTCTGAGGATCTCATCTCGGTACCTAATGGCAGTCAGGCTACCTCTGGCGAGCACATGGAGGGCTGTGCGGCCCCCCAAAGAAATGCCACCCCACACCATTACTGACCCACCGCCAAACCGGTCATGCTGGAGGATGTTGCAGGCAGCAGAACGTTCTCCACGGCGTCTCCAGACTCTGTCACGTCTGTCACATGTGCTCAGTGTGAACCTGCTTTCATCTGTGAAGAGCACAGGGCGCCAGTGGCGAATTTGCCAATCTTGGTGTTCTCTGGCAAATGCCAAACGCCCTGCACGGTGTTGGGCTGTAAGCACAACCCCCATCTGTGGACGTCGGGCCCTCATACCACCCTCATGGAGTCTGTTTCTGACGGTTTGAGCAGACACATGCACATTTGTGGGCTGCTGGAGGTTATTTTGCAGGGCTCTGGCAGTGCTCCTCCTGCTCCTCCTTGCACAAAGGTGGAGGTAGCGGTCCTGCTGCTGGGTTGTTGCCCTCCTACGGCCTCCTCCACGTCTCCTGATGTACTGGCCTGTCTCCTGGTAGCGCCTCCATGCTCTGGACACTACGCTGACAGACACAGCAAACCTGTCATCCTGGATGAGCTGCACTACCTGAGCCACATGTGTGGGTTGTAGACTCCGTCTCATGCTACCACTAGAGTGAAAGCACCACCAGCATTCAAAAGTGACCAAAACATCAGCCAGGAAGCATAGGAGCTGAGAAGTGGTCTGTGGTCACCACCTGCAGAACCACTCCTTTATTGGGGGTGTCTTGCTAATTGCCTATAATTTCCACCTGTTGTCTATTCCATTTGCACACCAGCATGTGAAATTGATTGTCAATCAGTGTTACTTCCTAAGTGGACAGTTTGATTTCACAGGAGTGTGATTGACTTGGAGTTACATTGTGTTGTTTAAGTGTTCCCTTTATTTTTTTGAGCAGCGTATAATGCAGTAAGGCTCTCAGGCATTCTGTGTTGCTGTCAGATATGTTTCTCCTGTATATCAACTGTTTTCATTTAATTTCATCCCTGCTGAGTCAGCAGTGTGGCACCTTTTCTTCTCAATTATAAAGTAATTAAATAAACTCATGGCTCCTGTGTTTCAGCAGGCTTTTTGCTCCTGTTTAAAACTTTCTGCACATTCAGAATCTCTCCCACATATGTGTTCTCTGACATTTGCAGAACAATATTTAGAGACAAAAGTCGTAATATTACGAGAATAAAATCACAATCTGATGGGAAAGAAGTCATAACATTTTAACAAAACCTACCTGCCCCTCCGCTGTGCATTACCCTGCGTTATTGCTCTGCTGATATAGGCTATCGAGGAGCCTTGATCCTCACCTGACAATGCCTTTGTAAACTTCATGTATGATGTGGTTTATAATGGACTGTGGTGCAGAAACAGTGAGGCTTATTTTTTCCTGTTACCTGTCAGTGGTCATACTTGCACTAGATGAAATAGATTTTGAGATGTTGGTGTGGTATGTTAGTCCAGATGAGCCAAGATGTAACAGAATGCATGATGACAGCAGAGTAAAATAATGCAGTACAGGAGTATGCCACATCATGTAGCACTTCATTTATTGATGTTACTGTTGTTTGATGAACAATAAACAATAATATTCACAAAATCATATGGTTTTACCGAATAATGATGTAAAATATAATTTCTTAATATATCTATCTAAAAAAAATTTCTTGTCTGACAACTTTTTTAGTCCTTTGTCGGCCACTGTAGCTATCTTACAGTTATCTTGGGTAAGGGAGGGGGGTCATTGAGTGAGGAGTTTTTTTGCAAAACCTTTGCCACTAGATGTCACTGAAATGTACACACTTAAGTCGTTTGTGTGGCAGCAATTTGGACACCTGGTGGAGACAATAAACGGCGACAGAGTGACAGAACAGACACAAACAATATGTAAGCAACATTTGAAAATGCACTTGAAAATAGTGTCCAAATATTGTCTCGTTCTCGTAAACTCAATATCGTGTATCGTATCGTCTCCTGAGCTAAGTGTATGGTCACACCCTTACCTGAAACCAACCACAACTCCAGTGCTGGCATAATCCTCTCTGGCCCCCCATGGTTTTCTGTGTGTTAAAATTAGATTGAGGTAATTTTTGGGCCCCTGGGTGTCTTGGACAGTCTATGTTCTTTGCCCATTTGGCTTTGATAGCAATACAATTGTGAGTGCTTGAGGGAGAAGCCTACACAAAACATAAAAAAGGAGTTAACATTTTAAAAAGGAATTTTGAAATATTAACCCTTTGTGTGTTTTACTGACACTAGTTTTACCTCCTTTTTTGTCTGGGGTTGCACAGACCACACCCATGTGTGTGTAAAAAGATAATAATTGCAAAATCTCACTTTATAATAAGAGCACACAACACACGTTTAAGTAAAGCTAATACATGACGGATGATGATTTAATGAATTAGTGCAGGATGTCTCCTGGTGCTCACCATTAATAAATAATCAAGCCACTATGAGTGATAGTTGATGGATCATCTATTAATGAATGTTTGACTCATTGTTAATTCATACGTTCATTTACAAACCACCCAAACACCTGGAATCCAGTTACATAAGAAAGGCCTTTCTGTTCTCACAGACACATGAAGCTGTTTTTATCATGGTAGTCAGAGCAAAGAACAGAAACAATCTGATCAGATATCAAGGAGACTCAGCTGTGGAATAAGGACCATTATAGTGCAGCAGTCTTCATAGTTAGGCTTAGAGCTTATTCCACTCTCTCCGTGTACAGTTTCTAATTTCTTTTGTATATTGTGCTACTTGTTTTATGTTGTTTTTTGTTTGCCTTCATTGATAAAAACTCTTCTTTTTTGTGATGTCTTCACGAGCCTCTTTTGGGGTTCTCAACATCAGAACCCGTTTTACAGCTTTACTGCGTTATAGTATTTCTGTCTTGTTATTTGTGCAAATAAATAAACTAAAGCTCTAATTGTTTTTTAGATAGATATCTTATTTTCTGTTCGGAAGGTTATTGAAGTCATACCGCTACCTACAGGCGTGCCTGTGGGTGACACCTGGCTGACGCTGTGCGGAGATGGAGAAACACTCTCGGGCTGACTGACGCGCATGTATCGGCGTCACCGGCGCCTCTGACGGTGGGAGGAGAAGCTCACCGGAGCGCAGCGGCGCAGACAGACGGATGGTTAGTGAGTGTCGGTCACCATGAGCCACCGGCACCGCGCGCTCAGCTGCCTCTCCGTCGCGCTCGTCCTGCTGCTGCCTCCGGGTCCGGGACGCGTCGCGGAGCCCGCGGTGGCGGCGGAGTACTCCTCCAAAAGCGACTTGGACTACGAGTTCGGGGACTACCGGGGGAAGTGGTGCATCGACGACCACGGTTTTGTTTACGGCATCGGAGAGGTTTATTACCCGAGCTCCACGGCGTGTCCTTGCACGTGCACCGTGGACGGTCCCGTGTGCGTCCGACCCAAGTGTCCCCGCATCCACCCCCGGTGCACGCGGATCAGATATAAGGCATGCTGTCCGGTGTGCGAGGCTATGGCCAGGGTCTGTGTCTACGGGGGAAAAGCGTACCGGCTCCTTGAGGAGTTTAGGGTGAGAACGATCCAAACTTCTACAACCCCCCCCCCCCCCCCCCCCCGTCCCATTCACAAGTTCACACAGCTCCAAAAGTATTTAATGAGGCAACTGCTGAGTGATCCTGCGTTATTTGACATTCATGCAAGGTACAAGGTAGATGCATTTATCATTTTACAACACAGGGTTGTATAACGAGATTAAGTTGGCGCTCCCTTTATGCCACTCACTAAAACAAACGTTATAATACAAAAATGATAGGCCTACAGCAGATGGCTGGATAAATAATAAGTCATAGAAATAAAATGATTTTACTTGATGGAGTGCTGAGGAATTGATACACATCATCTATAATGAAGAAGGCTGTCAGAGGATTAGTGCTTTTGGACTTTGCATGCTGTACAGGCGCTCTGCAGTGAGCTCATGTACTTGATGGTATTTCTTTTTTTTTTACTTCCTCTGTCTGCATGACATACTATTAGGCTATTGACATGTAAACTTAAAGGTAGTGACCACATTCTATTTGATATTAACATAAGACTGTCATATAGGCTATGGAAAACATGTGCGATTGCAGGATTAACCCAATGGCTTCCCCCTGTCCCACTTAAAGTTCATATCAGGTGCAGCTGCACACAGCTGACTACACATGCACGTCATTATTTTGCCTTTAAACCAACCATGCTGGAAAGTACCTATATGTTGTGAAATGATTTCACTTGTGATAATTTCACACATGCTTGTTGGGTGAGGGAGGGGTCTCAGGGTAGTTGTCCACTTAGTCTCCAGCCTTGATGTTGTATTGCTAAAAGCTACTACAGTTATTTCTCACCAGAGAGCTTGAAGCTGCACCGGTGAAAATGTTTAAATGAACAACAAATCAAGTTAGCTTACCATGCGTAATGTGAAACAGTGCATTTAAAGGACTATTTTCTTAGCAGCACAAAGACTAAGTTAGCAACTAGCTGGTGAACACAGGGGAGCATTTAGCAGCTAAAGAGCCAGATGGTTTTGTTCTCAGGTGTTGGTAGAGACCAAAAACAGAGCTAAAAGAGAATGAATACTGGACTTTTCATTTATCAGGTGACACAAACACAACTCCAAATGAATGATAATGCTGCTCCGTGTCTGCTCGATATGTACAGTAAATAGGCGACTGTTAATCCTAACAGCCTTTCAAGGTGATAATATGTGAGTCAGTGAAAAGTCAAATTGTGTGTTCCAGTTGTCAAGGTGTGAGCGATGTCGCTGCGAGGCCAACAGAGAGGTGTACTGCAGCATTTCAGACTGCCCCGCCCCTCACTGCGTCAACCCCACCTACGAACCCAACCACTGCTGCCCCATCTGTAAGACCGGTAAGACTGAGCACCCAAGAGCTTTCTCTTTGTCAGTTCAACACTTTGCTCCATGAGTTTCTCTAAAAGCTAATTTCAGCATGTCCAGCATGTCATGGTCCACAGAGGATAACTAATGTGTTTGGTCACCCTTTGATCTTTACTCTTGCAACACTCTCAGGCCAAGGTTTCCACCTGCACCTGTAAGAACATAAGTAGTACAAAGTGCTTCACAATAAAAGACAAAAAAAAGCAAATAAGAGACAGAGCACCAGAGATGAGATGCAGACATCAAGCTTAAACACAAGGCAAAACTAAACTACACAAAAACCAGCTTAACGATTGGGTCTTGCACTGCTTTTCAAAGCTATTCACGGATCTTAAAGAGGTCATATTATGCTTTTTGGCTTTTTCCCTCTCCTTTATTGAGTTATTTACCTTTTTTGTGCATTTAATAGGTTTGCAAAGTGAAAAAGCCCAAAGTCCACCCCAAAGGGAGTTCCTATCTCTCACAGAAAACTCTGCTCTGAACTGCCTGAAAACAGCTTGTTTGTAGTCCAGCCACTTCCCTTTCATCCCTGTGACATCACAGGGATGAAAGCGGCCAAGCGGCTAGTCCGACACGCCCTCAACAACACCGGTGGAAAAACAGTGAGCTGCAGCACACCTCTCCTCTCCCTTCCAAACACTAGCTACCCTCCAGGCAGTCAGTGGACATAAAGTTGTTACTGTGATGTAGAGACAGAGCTCAGTTAAAACTTTATGGATGAAAGATACTTTTGTTACAGATAAATAACTCACCACTCTGAAACTCTTGCTCCAGTCCATGTTGCCAAGCTGGTCGGCAACATGTACAGCTGAACCGAAGCCGTGTTTACCGGCTTCTCAGTGACCCGCCCTTCTCTGCTTCTGATTGGCTAGTAATCCTTAACTAGGATCTGTGCATGTGCAACTCCCAACAAAGATCATTTAGAGACAAGATGTATCACTCCATAGCTAAAACGAAGCCTTCAACACAGGGTGAAAAGAGGAGCTGCAGCAATGTGCAGTTTGAAAAAAAATTATGGTGTTTTTTTGAAAATGAAACCATGTAAAGCTGTTCTGGTACAACCCCTAAATAGGATTTTGAACCTGAAAATGAGCATAATACCACCTCTTTAAGTTCAGTAGGAGAGAGTTCCAAAGTTTAGGAGCTACAACCTCAAAAGCACAGTCTCCTATTGTCTTGAGCCTGGAGCATGGAACACTACCAAACCCTGATCAGAGGAGCTTAGACTCCTAGAGGGGATATGGGGCTGCACTGCAGTCGCTCTTCACTGTAGGCCGGTGCCTGGCCAAGGTTCTTAAACATGGTCACAAAAATCTTGTGCTGAATTCTGAATTTGATGGGAAGCCAGAGTAAAGAAATCATTATTGGTGGTACAAGAGACCTTTTGGAGAATGTGGAGGCAGTTATTCTGTTCTCTAGAGTAACAGCATATCTATAAAAAAGGGAGAATAGGACATCAGCAGCCTTATCTTTTTTTTGAGAATTTTGAGAGAAACCCTTGGCACGTAAGCAATTTTTCATGGTAAAAACCATTATATATAAAAATGCACAATTAAATTTGCAAACATGGCATTTTCTCACGGATTATCACAGGTATGATCAATGTAACAACAGCTAGCAATACAGTATATATAACTTAGCTAGCTAGCTACCTCTAAATATGGATCTGGATACCACCTGAGGCGTTAAACAGTGTGGTTACGTTTTTAAACCTTTTATTCTGTTGATGGGGTTTATTTGAACAAAATGACTTGCAAAGCATCTGTCACAGGACTACACTATGGCCCCAGCTGTCACCTGCCTCTGGAGTCACTCACTGAAGACACAAGTCGCGTGCCACAGAGACGGAATCTGGTAGTCCAATAGCAAGCAAAGGTTTTAGGATGAAGTAAACCACCACTTAGTTTAGTATGCAAAGGTTCAGGGGGGACAAACCTTCAGAAAGTATTGTTTAACAGAAGAGTTGGGTTCTATTAAATATATATTTCAATATCATAATTTATATAGAAATAATTTATTATGTTTTCTCATCCCCTTATCCCCCCCCCCTCAATCCAGGGTTTCACACTCTCACCTTCTTAACTGGCAACAGTTTAATCCATGTGGACAAGGCATCATCTGTGCTGCCACAGGAAGCTCGTGGCAGGAGCCTAACCACATGTCATATCCCATCTTATTGAGTGGGTGATAGACATCATTAGAAGGCTGTCACTGTAACATCATGTGTTCACCCTGCAGTTCTTAGAAGCAGCAACGGTTATGTCACCTCACCCTGCAGCTTAACAGAGCCATCTCTGTTATATCATACATGCTTTCACTGCCCCTGACATTAAAGTCCCTTTCTAACGTTGGAGGGATTTGTGTGTGTGTGTGTGTGTGTGTGTGTGTGTGTGTGTGAGTGTGTCACACACAAATAGCAGCAGGGATAATAATAATAACTCTTGTATTATGTGTTGCTTTTTTTGTAAAATAAAACAGAAAGCCAAAGCAGCTAAATAATGAAAAGCATTGTTTAATTGATTCATTATGACCACCTAAAAGAAAACCACATGAACAAACTCTCTGCTTCCCAGTTGCCTTGCTGCTTTATGGCAGTTGTAGTTTCTATTTTTACTGCTCCTCTGCTGGACAGACAGTGGGACAGATGGTTTGGTTTGTTGTGTCATGGTTTTGTTTTGTTTTTTCCCCAAATGCTGCCAAATTCCCTCACGTCAGCTGTGGGGGGGGGGGGGTTTATCGAACGCGGTTGGATCTGGCATCAGATGAAGTGTACTTCCTGTCCTGCTGACTGGCGTTGGTAATTGTTTTGCAGGTAGCTGCCAAATAAAGGAACCCCATCTGTGACCGAGGGATGCAAATGATATCAAAGGCAGGCTGTTTACATTTTTGCTTGCATGGCATTCAGTATGTCCAGCCCAGACAACATGTAAATGCTTCACTAAAAATATAAGATTATATATTGCAAGCACATGTTGGAGGAGAAAAAGAAATAGAATTTGCAGGATTTATTCAGGAAGGAGACAAGTTTAGATTAATCTTGTGACCCACCTCTGTTATTATCATACACACAACATGAGCCTTTTTCATAATGAACTTTAACCGCAGTTGAAGAAAGACTTGTGCTGCATCACGTCAGCAGTTGTTGAGGAAGGGGAGAGACTCTTTTTTTTTCTCCATAACTTGCTGCCTGGAGCTGTTTCTAAAGCTGAATTCCGTGATTTTTGTCCATTTGGGGGCAGCATAAACAAGCTCTAAACACAGCACTGACATATTGCCTAATATCTTAAAATGGCAAACTTCTTTGATGGCAAATGATGAGATCGGCGAGGCGGAACCAAATCATTAATGTCGCGGCTCGTCAAACTAAAACAATGAAAGACGCTAAAACCTTACATAAAATTTAGGGGGATTGCAGCTCCTCTGTGAGGCTGTACTGAGCTAAATGCTAACATTAGCATGCTAACATGCTCACAATGACAAATGTTAACATGATGATGATAGCAGGCTATTTTGTTTATAATATTCACCATCTTATTTTTGCAGTTCTTTCCTGGAGTTTTGGCTGGTTGCCTGGCAAGTTCTGATCCTGGTGAAGTCTGGCAAACAACCAAGACCATAATTTGTTATTTTTTACTGGTGCCGGGCAACGATTACAATTTTTAATCGCATTGTTATGCGCAAAATTGAATAATGAATTCTAAAGTAGTGTTTTGCGCACTTTTAATAAAATATACTGCTATATACACAAAAGTGCAATAACATGTGGTTTGCAAACACTTTAAACAAATAAGGTGCTTTTTACCAGCAGTATTCCCTTTACACAGTAGCAATAAAATGTTTGTCGTAAATCTCAACGTAAACATTAAATTAATCAAATCAAATATAAAACCAAAGCTATTTGCTTTGGGTGTTACCTTGTTAAAACGAGTTACCATCAGAGTCCAGAGCCATGATTATAACATCGTAACAGGCCCCTTCTGAGCAACAGGTAGCATACGCTGAACAAAATTATAAACGCAACACTTTTGTTTTTGCCCCATTCATCATGAGCTGAACTCAAAGACCTAAGACTTTCTGTATGTACACAAAAGGCCTATTTCTCTCAAATATTGTTCACAAATCTGTCAAAATCTGTGTTAGTGAGCACTTCTCCTTTGCCAAGATAATCCATCCACCTCACAGGTGTGGCATATCAACATGCTGATCAGACAGCATGGGGATTGCACAGGTGTGCCTTACGATGGCCACAATAAAATTAATATGTTTGCCCAACAAGACAAAACAAAAAACTGCTTTTACTCCTAAGGTTTAGATTTTCTGTGAGCAACTTGCCCCTGTACTGTCTGTCCTGTTGCTCTAGGTCCCAACTGCTTTGCTGGGAACAGGGTGATCCCGGCCGGGGAGCGTGTGAACACTGATGAGCAGACAGTATGCTACTGCACCTACCGGGACGGGACGTGGCACACCCATCCCCAGGCCACCTGCGAGCAGCGCCCCCAGCCCAGCCTGACACCCAGCACCGAGCCCCCCAGGGACGAGGAGACCAGGGCGAGAGGGGGAAGGCCGTTCATTCCCAGACTGGATGTGATACCGTGAAGTTAAATAAATGTCTCATAGAGGCAGAGCCACTCTGCAGGCACAATATAAACTCTAACTTTCTCTATTAGTAGTAAACTGGGCTTCAATATGGCATTACTCAAATGCACATTTATATTTAACACAACCAGGAAGATTATTTCAGAACAGCTCTGCCTCGAATAAACGTAGGGTAATCTGCAGGGAGGTTGGTGTTGAGGGTAAATAAGGAACTGTAGGGTGAAACTGGCACCACAAATGATTTGCAAACATGATCTCTGGACACCTGGTAGTATTTTTTTTACATTGTAATATTTTCCATTGTATCACATTTAGTTTTAGTTTCAAGTTTTAATACTCATTTTTGACTTCTGTCAAAAGGCCTAGGGGAGAGCGGGGTGATCTGAGCCTGTGGGGAAGTTGAGACACCCCTTGTTTCTCGGCAACTATAGACAAAAATAATAGACAATATTTGATAAACACATTTAAAATATATAAAATATATGTTAATATTTTAGTTGGAGACCTTACTGTCATGTCCTCACTTTAAAGTCACATCAAGTAAAAAGTGGCTCAGCTCACCCCACTCTCCCCTACACCCAATATTTGTTTCAGTATATCCAGCCCAAATTAAATGAATAAGATGAACTAGTGTTGAAATAAATCGTCCGTTGTTCACTAAGCCCCACCCTGTCAAGATTTCCATTCTCGCACAGCACATACGCAGTTTACAGTGACAACAGCATCAGATTTACCATGAATATTCATAGACATTTCATTTAGCGAATGTCAATTGATCGACGGAATTTTGATAATTGCTTTTATTACTATTTATTATGTAGTTATTTGTTAGGCAAAAATGTTAACATTCACTGGTTCCAGCTTGTTAAATGTGAGTTTGAAGTTTGAAGATAAAAAAGGGGCTGAAGATGCACACTGACGGGGAGATTAATGCCTAGTGTGGATGAGGCCACCTATGTCTGTACACTCACTGCTGTTAAAGAAAAGTATTTATTCAGTTTATCCCTTCCCGTACAGGGAAAAACCTACAATCTACCTATATGTCTGTGAGGATTTTCAGTTATCCAGGTCATAGTTTAAAAACATCATGGGCAACTGGACCTGGAAAGAGATAAAAGGACAGCATTGTAAGTAGGGGATAAGTGGTGTATCAGCCCTCCTCCCCTGTTGAGAGGTGGTTTCTCTATCATGGTGGAGATGGCCTCTGTCAAACTATACAAATGTACATTGTTGTCATCGATCAATGACAATTGATTTTGGAGTTATCTGCCACCTACAATGCAGTCCTTTCATCTCTTCTCAGTAGAGTGAACAAACGGCTTCATGTGACTCCAACGACCACGGTGACGGTGGTTACAAAAGTCAGGAGCACTAACGAACCAAGCGTATCCATCGCCATGATAATGACCCCACAGAGGTTAAATGGCAGGGACTCTCTGCCAATCAGTCAGAACTGAAGACTCGTGGAAACGTCTTAAAGTATCTTCAACCAAGTCCAGATGCCCTTGATTTTGACCTTCCTTGGATTAAAATCTAAATACTGACCGGACACCTCTGCCTCATAAAACCTCCCATCATTCCACTGGGGAATATGGATGGAGACAGGGATTGCCAGGGTGTGTGAAATGAGTGTATCGGTGACATACAGTAAGCGACAGAGGAGAACCAAGTGTTGGGTGTATGTGGTAGTCTGGTTTCTCTCCATGGACCTGCTGGTTTCCATCTGTAAGCAGAGCGAGGCCAGACATATCCAAGTAGACCAGACTCTCTCTCTCTCTCTCTCACACACACACACACACACAAAATGACTGTGTAAGCAGAGAAACAGTCACATGCTACCTGGAGTAACAGATGGTACACACAAATGTAATGTGAGGAGTACATGCCAGTAAGCATTCATCTGCCTCCTTCAGAATGTATACTTTCTGTCAGTCTGTTGACAGATTGAATAATGTGGCTTTTCTTTTTCTTGACCCATTCTCCTGCAGTGAGGTCAGACATCTTGCTCTCCTGACAACACGCAATAAAGTGCTGACTGTCAGAGCTTGTATACCTGGCAAATGCTTTGGGCAGGAAATTACCTTAAGTTAAACATCATCTCTTTGCCTTTTCTGTCCTATCCTTGTGTCTAGTGTTCAACACTTCCTGTCCTCATCATCTTCATGCTGGAGACATGTCCTGTTAGCTTGTTAGGGAAGAGTGCCAGTCAGCTTAAATCAGATCTTAAGGTATTTATTTACCGGTACACTGGTTTAGAATACTTTTCCCCAGTGGTTTGTCTTACCAAGTCTGAGTGCCTCCCTCTTAAATGTGTGCTGTTGTGTATCGTTACCTGTAACTTCCAATTGCTGTTGGAGGCTGTGAAATAAAGCTTGTATAAATGGACACTGTCACCCATGGGTTTCACTACACCCTCTAATGGTACTTCTGAGAAAGTGCATTAGATGCAACAAAAAGTTCATAGCTCATTTGGAGTGTGGTATATTCATGTCAAATAGGAAAGTTGGCTCAACTGTAAGGAACTAGTGTTCATTTTTAATTGTGTGCAATACAACTGTAATTACTGGCAGCACAAGGGTCCCATGCTTAATTTACACCAGATTTCAGCCCCTCAAACAAGCCAATTCCGAACAGCTGCAGAATTGAGGTGTGTGATTTAACCATTATGACTACTACATCAAAACTTGCATTAAGTGCAGCTGTTAAAGTAGCACTTTTAGATTGCAAAACCCAACAAGATCTGCTTTCAGAAGGTAATTTGATTAAACATCCATTACTTATTATTTAATCATTAATAAGCTCCATAAATGTTCCCAAAACAGCATCACACCCCTACACATTAGCTCAAACTTCAACATTCACAATATTGTTTACATAAAGTATAAATGAAAACACCAAGATATGAAGCTCGATACCAACAGTTTTTATTGAAAACAAACAAAAGGTGCAGGTCCAGCTCAGGCTATGCTGCCAGCGTTGGAGGCAATCCTGGGCCAGAGGTCAGCACACTCTTTGGCCACTGGACCTGTGATGGCTGAACCTGCAGATACAGAGCAGAAAGGTATTTTAATAGACGTTGCATGAGGGACAACTGACTGCTGCATAATACGGACAATGTCAATCATAAAACAATACAGAAAGAAAATGCAAAGAGTGCCATGGTGACTTGGTACCAAACTTAAGAGTTAGCTTAATAACGGAATGAATTAGATGTTTTGGGGCATAAAAACTGTAGTAGACCTCACTGGGGACAGCTGTTGGTCTGTCCTTGGTGGACTGCACTAATAAAAGCAGAACATGACTTCATATTGAGCAGGTTAAAGCTGTCTCATCACTGATTGAGATTGGTCGGCCACTTTGAGTCGCTGCCATCTCACCCACAGTGATGAGGTCAATATTCCCTTCTACGACAACTCACCCAGCCACTGAGCAGACAAAGCAAGTGCTTTTTGAAGGGGCAACTTCTTCCTATCAATCTACCACCTGTATCTGATGTTTGTTGCTATAGTGATGCAAATGTCCTGCTGGTGAAATAAACGCTGATGCCACTTTGTAAAAAGTAAACTCTTAATTTTACTCGGCACACACCTACAAACATGAAAATCCCTAAAAAGAACTACATTACTGAAAACATCTAAAATGCCCCAAGATAAAGACCTACGTAGCTGCAGGTTATTAAACACCAATACATGAGAAGCTACTACAGCAAAGCTGTAATTTCCTCTGTAGATGGCCCTGCTGTCAAGACACGTGAGCATTGCAAATAAGTCAACAAACCCACCTTTCATTTCTCCTTTGTTGTTTACTATGACACCCGCGTTGTCTTCAAAGTACAGAAACACGCCGTCTTTTCGCCGATACGACTTCCGCTGCCGTATCACCACCGCAGGATGCACTGTGGACAGAGGGAATGTGGTTAAATAAATTGATAAAGCCACAGAACACACACCTGTGTCAACCAGTGTTTTGACTTGGGTGGAAAATACAGAGAAATGTTCTCTGCACAGAAAGACTGGTGGCAGGAACAGATTATACTGTGGCAACATCCAGAATCACTGGATTAACTACTGTTAGTGGGTTGCAGTTTGAGTTATTCAGTGTTCTGCACATAAACCTGGAAATGAGACAGCCCGTGCCTTCAGTCTTCCTCACTCTCTGCTCATGAAGTAAAAATCCAATGCAGACACCCTCTAAAGCTCCTTTTCCACCACATGGAACTAGCTAAACTCGCCTCGCCTTCGGGGAAAATGGTACCTGGTACTTTTTTGGGTATCACCTCTGTCGAGGTTCCAAGCGAGCTGAGGCGATACCAAACGCTGAAGTGAAAACGCTGCAGACTAATGACTGGTTAGAGAATCGACAGCAAATCCGAGTTGGAAGTGACCTAGCTGGCAGCTGGTGTGCAGCTAGTCCTGCGGTGTGTTTACAGCTGACCTGCCACTCCTAACGTTTCCTCAGTTTAGGTGCTCAGTATGGTTTTAGTCGTCGCTAGGACAACCAGCTATATTCAGTGGGTACGATCTGCAATGGAGGACGGGGTACCAAAACGAGTTGAGAAGAGTTGAGCTGGCACCATGCGGGGGAAAGGGGGCTTAAATGTCACTTTGCAGCAGCAATGGTAACTGATCTTACAGACACCCGAAAAACACGACGCCAGAACTTCATTAGAACTTGAAGCTATTGCTCGACACCACCCTGTCCAAGTGTCTGCAGTCATTCAAGATGATTAGCAAAAGTTACCTCCACTTCACGTGTCGTTCTCAATGCAAATGCACCTGATAAACACTGTCCACCACAAGCACCTAAACACAAACTCCCACCTCAGCAGCTCACATGACAGTTCATAAACTGCCTCACCCCAACACTACAGCAACTTGCACAGAGACCCGTCGTCTCCACTCACCCTTCTTCCGGAGCTCTGGCTTGCCTTTCTTGACTGTGGCCATCACCATGTCACCCACTCCTGCAGCAGGCAGACGGTTCAGACGCCCCTTGATGCCCTTCACAGAGATGATGTACAGGTTCTTGGCACCTGAACAACGGAGGGAGAACACCAACTTGAGAAAGACGACAGCATGGGATAAACAAAAAACTGGGACTTTGAAGAACACTGTTATACAGGTTTCCATTTCAGAAGTGACAGCCTACAGCTCTTTGTCTCATCACTGATTGAGATTGGTCGGCCACTTTGAGTCGCTGCCATCTCACCCACAGTGATGAGGTCAATATTCCCTTTTACGACAACTCACCCAGCCACTGAGCAGACAAAGCAAGTGCTTTTTGAAGGGGGGGGGGGGGGGGGGGGGCACTGAAAACAGCTTGGACAAAAATCCAAACTTTACAGTGGGCCAGAATTCAGAGCTCTCAGTATAACATTCATTAAACACTTACTAATTTACTAGCTGACATTCAGGTTGTCAAACCATCACAATATGAACACAATATAAACTACAGCTTTAACTGTACTTGCTACAGGGGTCCAAAAAGCAGTAATTTTTAGCAGTTTTAATACACAAAGACATGTAATAATTTCTCTTCTTGAGAACAGGGAATTAAGATTGTCCATGTGTAGTTTTTTTTCCAACTTGGTAGTTTAACACCTGCACAAAACCTAATTTGCATATTTGAGCCAAGACATTACAAAAGGTTAATTGAAGCGCACCTGTGTTGTCAGCACAGTTGATGACTGCTCCCACTGGGAGACCCAGTGAGATGCGGAACTTGGCTCCGGATGAACCACCACGTCCTGCAAGAAGACAAAATAGTCAAGTTTCACCTGGACCAACGTTACTACCAAGATAAGGTGAGGATAAAGGTACTTAAGATCGGGGTTAGATTTACAAACATTGTGATATACATGTTTCCATTTCAGAAGTGACAGCCTACAGCTCTTTGTCTCATCACTGATTGAGATTGGTCGGCCACTTTGAGTCGCTGCCATCTCACCCACAGTGATGAGGTCAATATTCCCTTCTACGACAACTCACCCAGCCACTGAGCAGACAAAGCAAGTGCTTTTTGAAGGGGGGAGCACTGAAAACAACCTGACCAAATATCTCACAATTTCACAGTGTGGCAGAATTCATCAAGGCCATCAATAAAAAATTTATTAAACACTACTGCATCAACACCCACAGACTGTTTTGCATCCAATATTGGAAAAGTCTGTTACTAATATGCTGCCTTCCTTAAAAAAAAAACCTAAAAAATAGACGCTGTACTGCCGTCATAACTTACATGTCAGCAGTGGGGCTCAACACCATCAGTAGGCCCCAAGAAACTCATGAGCTGAGAGAGGAACGTTCCGTAATATTATTTTAGCAATTGACCCTAGCATGAGCTGTTTGACAATATACAACATGTTGTATGTTGCACATTTCACAAGCCGGTTAAATTCTCTTAGTAACTGATCCCGTGGGGTGTTAGCATGAGCCGTCTGACAATACACATGTTGCCACTTTCTCAGTTTCTTTAGCCAGCAAAATTAAAACACTTCCTCGTCTATAGCTTAGCGTTTCTAATAATGTTCTTACTGTCAGAAAGCTAACGTTACCTTGCACCCAACACTTTGTTCAAAACCCTTTCGCTGTCGCAGTGTTCAAATTTATTTGCTACAATTGTGGCGGAGATTTCAAGCTCTCCTCGATTCACACCAACCTGACCGGCTGTGCCTAGCTTAGCCTTAGCTAGCTTTGGCTAATTTCACCTTATGGAGAAATATTATCATTACGGGACATATCGTTTGAGTTCATTACATGGTGCGGATTTAAGCATATCACATTAACCCTGTCTAAGTTTACTACAAGCAGCAAATTCAGATATTCGGCCTCTAGCTTTACTACTTCATGCCTACATGGCGGTGACAGCGGAACATGGCTTCCGTCAACTTAGCCAGCCAATATGTTACCGTTTATAAAGTACAAACTGTTTCCAATAATTTAAAACTAATCGTGTATATCTATTGTCTTTCTTGCTATATCACACACAAAACACATAAAACCATTTGTTGGGACGTAAAAACCAGCAGATGAACGCGGATTTCACAAGGTGGGTTTCATACCTCTCTTGGACATTGCTGCAGTAGGGAAAGAGGACGGCGCAGAAAGGAATTGTGGGATATAAAGTTGAACAGAACTTCATCCGGGTCGTGGCGCGGAGGCATGCTGCATTCAGGGGCAGTCGGAAACGTCCTATACACGGACTTAATATTTATTATATTTTCTACATTGTCTTAATAAGTTGAATATTTATAGAAAGATATTATGATATTCATCACTTACCGTCTTGTTTTCCCTCCTTCCTTATTTTAATTACTTGTTAATGAACCCAAACAGTGGATTACAACAATGTCTATCAAACAATAAGAAAGCTGTTAAAAATATGAAAAGTCCCCTTTTGTTAATGCTACGTTTTCTAAATACAGTTGAGCAAGAAGAAAAGGGAAATTACTGCATTATGGGCATGTGTTAGAAAAATATATACATATATGTATGTATATAAGTATTTTAAAGTGTCGCAAGCCTGTCCTATGTGCATGTATTGCCTCCTTGCAAGTAAACTTTCACTGAACAAGATTCCAGTGACTCTGTCATTCTTTGATGAAGATTATTCTAACAGCATGCTTACACACTCTGAACAATTGTACAGGAAACGTAATTTCACAGCCCTGATCACAACACAAGCTATTAGCTCTGTGGTGTCTTGAAAGTGACACATCACAGTCAGAAATGTTGACTGGACTATCTAAAACCATTATAATCTGGATTCTGACATGTACATCAATAAAAACATGAGCCTTGTATTTATTATCTTCTTTCTGCCACTTGGGGGCAGCAGAAACAAGCACCACTAACATCACCTTATAAAGATATTGTGGCAAAACTGTCAGCAAGTAGGCCTTGTTGCTTAAATTAGAAATCGCTCATATAAAGGACTATATCATGTTTGGTCTGTTGTGGTCTCCATCATCTCCTGAGAAAGATATACCTGAGATATTACCTGATGGACGCTTATGTTCACCAGCTAGTCGCCAACTGTCCAAGGTGGGTGAGAATGATGAGTGTAAACCAAACAGTGAAGTTGTGGGCTGAGAAACCAAAACAATGAGCTGACAGACACTTTAAAGCTCTGCAGACCTTAAGCAAACTACGGAGTTGGGTGATAATTTTATGTGGGTTCATCACGATACTGAATCCCTTACACGACATTACAGGAAGTAATTTGCCTCATTAATATAAAGTATTGGATAGTTCAGCTTTAAGTTCTGTACACCTACAACCTTTCAGAAGTTAGCTACTCTTTACAAACTTGGTGTCACCAAGTTTTATCTGCTTACTGATGGTGTAAGGATACTTGTAAAATTGCCCACATCAGATCATCAGAACCATTTCCTGTATGCATTAATTTATTTAAACCATGTGGTTCCTTTTATGCTTTCATAACATTATGGCATTGTAGGTAGCTCTCCAGAATCTTTTGTAGCGCAGGCAAATTATTAAAAATTTGCCTTTTCCAAAAGGCAGACAGAAGAGAAGAGGGTTGTGTTTATAGTAAAGCAGACTTATCTTGGATAAGCACTGACTAAGAGAAACTTAGATTAATTTTCTTCCATTTACACAACCAGGGCAAGACATCAAGTCATATAATATGAGTCCATATAATATGTTTGCTGTTGAAACAGTAACTTGTACTTATCAATGTAACAGTACTTTTACTTAAGTACAATATTTTAGTACTCTTTCCACCTCTGTGCATATATATACACACACATATATATATATATATATATATATATACACACACACACACACACACACACACACACACACATATATATTTATATATATACACACATATATATAAAAAATTTGTTTGCCAATTCCGGCTTTTTGGAATCTTGAAAATCACGTGACTGCTGAACAATTTATATATTTATATAACTCTAACATCAAAGTTAAAGTTATATAACTTTGACCAGTGTATGTATGTGTATACACACACATACACTGTGTGTGTAGATATATATAAAAATAATTATAGACATACACACACACATACATATATATATATATATATATATATATATATAAATTGTAAAAGGTAGAATGGACAAAATGGAGGAAAGCTGGAATTGGCAAAATCATTTTTTCTAAAAACCTATTTTGAGGTCTTGATGACTTTGAGCCAAAAGTGTCCAACCAACTGTGAAATATGGTCACTAGCCTATCCCCCCTTCTGTTCCTGAGTTTGATGTTAAAGTGTTTCTCAAGGACATTGTGATGTCAGTAAAGTTGACCTTTTAGGTAAAAAATGTCATCATTTCATCATATCCCATTTTTCACACAGATGTTTTCTGTGTAAAAAGCCTGCACATTGTGTCCTTAGGCAAGACACTGAACCCCTAACTGCTCCTGACGGCTGTGCCTTTGGGTGTGTGTTTGTGTATGACAACACAGTACTAGTTTCTTTCTGGTGAGCAGTTGGCACCTTGCATGGCAGGCACTGCCATCAGTGCGTGACTGTGTGTGAATGGGTGAATGTTGACTTGTTTCTGTAAAGTGCTTTGATTGGTCAGAAGACAGTCAGTGCAGTCCATTGATCATTTATAAGACCTCACGGTGTTCAGCCGTACTCAAAAGTACTTGATATGTCTACATTACTATTCCACAAGGTACTGTATCTGCTGCTCCACCACAGCTCATCCAGTCTGCAATGGGAGGTGCAGATCCCAGCGGCCTTAAGACTGTAGTAATACAACTGATACTGACAACAAACATGGGAGACTGCCTCCCAGATTTGTAACATCGAGTGGCTGTTCACGGACACTGGGCATGCATGTGACGGTGTAAACCTTTCTTTACACTTGTTAAAGCACTTTGTAACTTGTTTTTGAAAAGTGCTCTACAAATAAGGATTATTATTATTATTATTATTATTATTAAACATGAAGCAGATGGTCTATTCAGTAGTTACAGAAGATTTGGCGAAAGAAGAAAGTACTATTAGAGACAAGAAAGGCAATGGCGAAAAGCCACACCGGAGATTTTTTGCATGGACCGACAACATTGCGGAACTGAAAGTAAAACAGGAGTACAAAGCAACTGGTAGAAAACAGACTAGAAGTTGTCACAAGGCAAATCCATGACATGCACAGTGCAAGTATTTTAAATAAGCGATATTTGCACAGTCCAAAATATTTTAATAAAAATACCAAAAACAGTCTGTAGCATTGTGTTTTGCTTTGCATAACAAATAAGACCCAGTCAGGAAGCCAAACATGAGTGTCTGCGTCATCGTTTTTAAAGTCCTACGGTCTCACCTTTCCACACTAATACACTAATATGCCCTGGAGTTTTAAAACAAAAATGGGGTCAGCACTGTTTTTAAACATCTCTGTGTTAGGTGTTTGGATTCGCTGTTTTAGTCTGGACGGCGCAAGCATAGCATAAAGTCTGCATTTTAAAACGAAAACTTACGAGTGTGTGTTATGATATGATAGCAACTCTTATTGTGGCCAGCCTAAGGCACACCTGTGCACAGTTTTCAGTCACGTGACATGCGTGGTGACCTTGAGGGCAAAACAACAGACCAACATAGCGGCTCACAGCGCGACACCCCTGTAGAGAAGCCACAAAAGCAGTCAACTTTTATTTGGATCACCTTTCAAAGAAAGATATGAGAACAGACTGCAAGTGCTGGGCATATCTGATCCATATAACGTTACAGCATCCGCTGCCACATTTCTACCTCGACTGTGTTAATGTTTACCTTTACCTTCTGGGCAATCCCTCACCTAACACAGCCCAGGCTTGTCGCCTCGATTTAATAAATCCGAAAGCACAACAACCTACCAGCATTTTGGCAACGCAAAAAGTAACAAACTCAAAGTAACAGTGTTTCAGTTGCCTATTCTTTTGGAAGGCAGCGGAAATTAACATCTTTTTGCCCTGCAAGGGAGCGTTTTCATTGGAGTGTGACGTCACGTGAAAACTATGAATACCGATGCTGATCAGCATCTTGAAATGCCACACCTGTGAGGTGGATGGATTATCTCAGCAAAGGAGAAATGCTCACTGACACAGATATTGAAATTTGTGAACAATAGTTGACATAAATAGTGTGTAATTTGTGTACATAGAGAAAGTCTCATAGAGTTCAGCTCATGATGAATGGGGGCAAATACAAAAGTGCTGCGTTTTATAATTATTTTCAGTATGCATTTTCAGTGGACTTTCCGAGTTAGAGCTTTTCACTGAGAACAGCTGTGGTACAGCCACATGAGAGCAGTGAGAATTGAACCAAAACTGTAAGTTGTGGGCGTCTTATCCACTGCCCCATCCTGTGTGTGAGTGAGTGAGAGAGAGAGATCTTACACTGTCACTTAAAAAACAATTTATTTATGTGAAAGATGCACAGCAGCTAAATAATTTCACATGCACCAAAATAAACATCACAGATTTTACTATATAGAAATGCCAACACCTTTTTAGCTTTTTTATTTCTGTAATACAGTAGTTCATTTCATAAGGTTAGTGGTTTAGTGGATATCTTTTAAACTCCACATTCTCTTGATTTTAACATTCACTGTAGCTGAGAAAATTTATTATACAACTGTCGTCACAGGCGGAGTAGAACTCCCTGTGACCAGTTAGCTAATCATCATATGTAAAATCAGGTACCGGGATATGAAGATGTTGGATGCTGAGACTAAAGCCAAAAGCATCATTACAGTTTAATGCAGTAGAGTGTTATAGCATTATGAAAAAGAAGTGCATAGATCATCTACGGCATCATTTGGGAGTGCAATTCTTCTTGTCTGTGTTTTTCTTGTGGAAGCTTTTTCCATCAGACTGTTCCACCCATCTCAGCTTGACTCCTTCAGTCAGGCCGCGATCCAGTCTCTCACTTAACTGAGAAATACAAAGAAGTTCAGGTGAATGAGCATCTATCTAAACTCACATCAACGAGTAGTCCTATAACCTCAGCATGCCTTACATTAGGCTGTGATTCAGATCACAAGGAGGAATAAGATTCGGCGTAATATATGGCTTCACAGAGTAATGGAAAGAGCGCTCAAATCACAGACGGGACTGAGCAGTAACTAGCAAAATTGGACTCCAGACTGGAATTGAAGGGATATTCAAAATTATTTTTAGTGCTTTTCAACACAAATGTTGCACCACTCAAATTACTAACACCAACATATGTTGGTATCATAAATTAGTATACTTGGAGAAGGGGTTGCTGTACAATACACAAGTCCATGCAAACATCAAGGCTGTACACAGTGACAGGGATAAATACAAATGTGACAGCCAGCCGCTCCTTCAAAATTTGCTATATTCTTGTTTTAATTTCTAGTTTTTGTGCCTTCAGTGCTATGACGGCCCCAGGGCCTCTGCCAGGTTGTTTGTGTGTGTGTGTCTCGGGCCATAACAGTACTGAAACAAATATTACCCATGGATGCACATATTACCTATGACAAGAATACACCTTGAGAAACTGGAGAGAAAGACCTCAGCGCCAGAAACATCAAAGACATCTGGCAAGCAATCCAGACCATCGCAGGCTACAAAAGCAGATGCACCATGTGTGAGAACATGTGGCTAGATGAGCTTAAAACATTTTATACTCACTTTGATCTCCTCAACAAAAGTTCAGCTGTAAAGTCTACTCTGCCTTAAAAGGACTGGCCACTGTTAATCTCCACAGTGGATGTAAGAAGCATCCTGCTGAGTGTGAATCTGAGTAAAGCTGCTGGGCCAGATAACATTACAACATTACGTGTACTGCCTATGACAGGAGGGCTCTGCAGCAGGTGATTAAAATGGCAAAACGTCATTGGTACCCATCAGTGATATCGGTGAGGTGAGGTGCCTGCGCAGAGGGCAAAAGATACTGAAAGACAGTACCCACCCAGCCACAGCCTGTTCACCCTGCTGCTGTCCAGCAAGAGATAAGTACTGTACCACATGACTTCAGAGCAGCTTCCTTCCTGAGGCTGTAGGGTCTGTGTGTATAGCGAGAAGGGGGCTGCAACTTTAATTTCATTGTGCAGCCCCTGTGTTGTAGAATGACAAATAGATGTACCTTGCAGCTTCTTAACGTATTTCTTAGCAATCAACTTTAATTAAATATTTTCATTTTACAAGCCTCCTAAAAGGTCTTTTCACATCATGCTCAAACATCAATACCTTCTGCAAGATATCTTCCTTCAGCTCCTCCATGTCTACAGAGGAGTGAGTGTTCTTCAGCACCACCTTCAGCACCTGCTTTCTCATTGTGGGAACTGTTTCATACAGGGGAATAGAAAGAATTTTCATGTTGCAAATTAATTTAAAAGTAAAATTTGACAATGAATATATATATAAACAATTACAGAGTATCTGTGGATATTGAATTGTTACAAATTGGTAATAATTTATACAAATCAGAACTCACCCCTGTAACATATGAATTTCCGCCTGCTGTTGCAGTCTTGGTTACTCCATTTGCCAGAGTTTGAAACAGCACAAGAGTCTTTGTGTGAGGTGGATGGAGCACTGGGAGCCCAGTTACTGAATGTATGTGCACTCCCATCTGACCATTTCCATGAGTCTCTGTAGAGGCCGATCCATGTGTATTGACTCGTGGTGGCCATCATCTTCATCTGGTCATTCTCAGTCTGGTTCCTCACACTGGCCAGGTCAGAGTAGTGCTTCCTGCAGTAGCTCTGAGCCTCCATCCAGGACATGGTTTCATTCACACAGATGAAGCTCTGTGTAGTGTACTCTGTATCAAACACATACAGACATCATTACCTCAATTTAAGGTCATAGGATTACCCAAATTACCCAGACTGACAATGATGATAATTACTTTTTAGCCATGCTAGTAGCATTTATGGCTTTATGGATGGTAATGTTGGTCAGACCACCACTTGTATTGGGACTAAAAGTTGGATGGATTTCATGAAATTGGAGACACTAATGTTCCCCTGATGAACTGCAGTATTTTTGTGATCCCTTACCTTTCCATATAGTGCCACCATCAGCTCACCATATAAATTTCTCCAGTGCTTAGGTTTATGGTCAAAGGTCAAATGACCTGCAAAACTAATATAATTCCTGTCAGTGTTCACAGGATCGAGGATAGTTAAGTTGGTCCCTGACCCAGGAGAACGTCTCGGGTTACGTATGTAACCCTGGTTCCCCGAGAAGGGGAACGAGACACTGCGTCGGTTACGACACTATGGGAACGCCTCTAGGCGAAGCAGGTCTGAACGTGAATGAAATCACTCCAATCCTATTGGCTTGTTGCTAGAACGGTAAGGTGTGACGGAATAACCGGAGGAGTATAAAGCACACCTGTACACACTCATCATTAGCTTAACTATGAAGCAGGTGCTTCAGGCGGGAGAGAGGTGCGGCGGGCCGACGCAGTCTCTCGTTCCCCTTCTCGGGGAACCAGGGTTACATACGTAACCCGAGACGTTCCCCTTCGAGGGAACTCGAACTGCGTCGGTTACGACACTATGGGAACGAGATACCCACTAAACCGTGCCGAAAACCCCGCCTGCCCCTGTGTGCAATAAAGTGGCACGACTAAGAGGAGAGCGCACGAGTGCCAGGTGCCGAAGGAAGGTCAAGACTGTAAAACCGAATGAATGTGTGCGGAGTGGCCCAGCCAGCCGCTAAACAAACATCCTGCAAGAGGCCCCGGAAAGGAGGGCTCGAGAGGTCGCCATGCCTCTGGTAGAATGAGCCCTCACAGCCACAGGTGAAGGCAAACCGCGCACCTGATAGGCCAGGGAAATAGTCTGAACAATCTAGTTGCTAATAGTATGTTTGGATGCAGGGAGCCCAGCCCTGGGAGACCCAAAACACACTAGCAGCTGGTCAGCCTTCCTCCAACGGGAGGACCTCAGAGTGTAAATACTCAGTGCTCTGACAGGGCAGAGCAGATGAAGTCTCCCGTCCTCCGCCGTCACATGAGGCGGAGGATGAAATGCCTGCAGCACTGTGGACCCTGCCGCACAAGAAGGCACTTTAGGGATGTATCCTGAACGAGGGTGCAGGATAGCCCTAATATTCCCCGGGGCAAACTCCAGGCTTTGCGGGGAAACCGAAAGCGCTTGGAGATCCCCCACCCTCCTCAGAGAGGTGATAGCAAGGAGAAAGGCCATCTTGAGGGTCAAGTGCTTAGCCTCAGCTGACTCCAGGGGTTTGAAGGGGGCCTCAGCCAACGCCCCAGGAACCACTGCTAGATCCCAAGTGGGAACCTTGGACCGAGTCGCAGGTCTCATCCTCCGGGCACCACGGAGGAAACGTACAACCAAGGGAAGTTTCCCCAAGGACCCCTCCCTCAGAGGGGTGTGGAAAATAGCTGCCACGTACACCTTGAGGGTGGAAGGGGAAAGACCAGCAGAGAACTGGTCCTGGAGGAACTCAAGTACCTGAACCACCGGGCAGGTAACAGGGTCCACCGACCGCTCCCTACACCAAGTGGAGAAAACACTCCACTTCAGGCCGTACATCCTCCGTGTGGACGGGGCCCTGGAGCTCAGGAGGGTCTCGACTGCTCCGGCTGTTAGACCCGCCTCTAGGTACTGTGCCCCCTCAGGGGCCAGACCCACAGTTGCCATATGGCGGCGCAAGGGTGAAGAACCCGGCCCTGCGCCTGGGACAGCAGGTCTCTCCTCAGAGGGACCCGCCATGGCGGGCCGTCCAGGAGCGACATGATGTCCGAGAACCACACCCGGGTTGGCCAGAACAGGGCTACGAGCAGTAGGCCGACATTGTCCTGGCGGACCCGCTCCAGAACCCCGGGAGCAGAGCGACTGGGGGAAAAGCGTACAGACGTAGCCTCGGCCACGAATGTACCATGGCGTCCAGACCCAACGGGGCTGGAGGAACGAGAGAAACCATAGCGGGCAGTGCGTAGTCTCTTGAGACGCAAACAGATCCACGTCTATGGGGCCGAACTCTTCGCACAAGAGCTCCACCACTTCGGGGTGAAGTCTCCATTCCCCGGGCCTCAGCCCCTGCCTCGACAGCAGGTCTGCTCCCTGATTCTGCGTCCCCGGGAGATACATCGCCCTGAGCGATAGTAACCTCTGCTGGGACCACAGGAGGATCTGACGCGCCAGTCTGTCCAGAGGGCGCGAGCGCAGACCGCCCTGGTGATTCAGATAGGCCACCACCGCTGTGTTGTTCTCTTCGGAACGAACCAGGACGTGGTGGCCTTGGAGATCGGGCAGGAAACTCCTTAGAGCCTGGAACACTGCCAACATCTTGAGACCACTCGGATTGATGCACCTGCCAGGATCCCCTTGCGGGAGGGGAGAAAGACTCCCCTACCCCGGTCTTCCCTGAGCTCCGTCGAGACTGGATGACGGTCCTCAGATCGCGTCTCTCAGACGGCTGAGGGTGAGAGCGCCGTCTCGCTGCCCCAGCTCCTCGGGGGGGCCCCCGAGAAGCGACACTCTGCTTCCTCTCCTCTCCGTAGGAGCTCGTAGAGGGAAGGGACCTACGCCTGGCGGCCTCAGCTGCCTTGGGTCCAGACCGGCGAGGGAGGTACTGGCGGAACGCTTCGCCCTGCGTCTAACGCTCCGTGGTTCTGCGAAGCTCCGCCAGATCTTCCTCAGAGGGACTCCCCCTCTGAACCATCTCCTGTAACAGGTCGGCTTGGTAGGCTTGAAGCACCACCATGGTGTGCAAGCTCGCACCTGCCTGGCCCGCTGCCATGTATGCCTTCCCCACGAGCGTGGATGTGGTGCGACATGGTTTGGATGGTAACGCCGGCTTCTCCAGGGAGGATGCAAGTCGAGGAGAGAGATAGCTCGCAAGCGCATCCTCCACCCGAGGCATCCTCCCATAACCACGGTCCCTAACCCCCATCACATTACTGTAGTTCAGTGATCGGGGTGTGGAAAGCCATGTAGAGAAGGGTCTGCCCCATGATTACTCAGTTCATCATGTAAATCAGGAAAGAATGGCAGAGACCGGCGTGGAGGTGGCGTGTGGTGCTTAAGAAACCTTTCATCCAGCTTACCACTAGCCTGTGGTGTCTGCTCCTCCTGTGGCCAGTTGATGTTGAGCTTAGCCACGGCTCTAGTCACCACCTCCAGCAGCACATCATAGTCGGGCGCCGACACCCGGAAGTCATCGTCCACTACGCTGAGCACGTCCGCCTCCTCGGAGTCGGATTGCTGCAGCGTCTCCGGATCCAAACCGCGAGCGGGAGAAGCCGAGAACGGGCTCCCAAACGAGGAAAGGAAGCGTCGGAGCCAGCGGATGAAGGTCGGGAAAAAGCCACAGCCGTCCCGATATCCTCCGACAGATCACGCTGTGAACCCCATGAGTGAAGCCGCCGGGCTGCCTCAGCGGCCGCAGGGCCCGCACCACGGGGAAAACACATCCGGCCATCCTCGGAAAAGAGAGCCATGCTGTACCTCAGTACCCGCACGGAAAGGGCTTCGCAACGGGCGCAGGCAGCCCCCTCGAGAGCTGCCCGGGCGTGCTCCATCCCCAAACATGAGACACACATCTCATGAGAATCTCCATCCGTGATGTACCGAGGGCAAGAAAAACACACCTTCTGTACATCTGGTTGCCGGACATGCTGGTAGACTTCTTCTTCAGGTAAGACATACTGCTTGTAGGACTGGAGCTTTCTTCAAACAACATACAGAGCGCCTGCTGAATAGAAAAAAGCTAATGATGAGTGTGTACAGGTGTGCTTTATACTCCTCCGGTTATTCCGTCACACCTTACCGTTCTAGCAACAAGCCAATAGGATTGGAGTGATTTCATTCACGTTCAGACCTGCTTCGCCTAGAGGCGTTCCCATAGTGTCGTAACCGACGCAGTTCGAGTTCCCTCGAAGGGGAAACAGAATTTACAAAACATTCATTTTTGTTTTTGATTAGAGACATGCTACATCGTTGCTAATGTTAGCTATGCTAGCTACAAAGCAGGGCTCTCAAGTCTCACGCATTCACCGTGAGACACACATTTCAGCGTATTTCTCACGCTGAGAAGTTAAGAGATAACGTCCCGCTATATACAATTAATAGACGATCATTTTTGTGCCGAGTTCATAGCTTTCTCTGTAGCCTACTAAATGCCAGAGCGGCCAGGATAAGCGGTTGACGATGGATGGATGGATGGATGGATGGATGGACATTTGTATTTTGAAATATAAGTATATATTTTTATCAGATTTACCCATTGTTATACTTTCTATTTGTTCGGGTTAATTATGAACTATAGGTAAAATTTAACAACTAGTAAAAACTTGGCTGCGACCGAGGGGCCGCTGCTGCAAATCAGAATCAGAATCAGAAGGAGCTTTATTGCCAAGTAGTGTTTTACACATATGGGGAATTTGCTGTGGTGATAAGGTGCTACACATAGACAAACATACAGTTAACATAAATAAATGTGGAAATATATAAATATGGAATGGAAGAACAACGTTACAGATATATACATGAGCATTATTCTGGGTCTGTGCCGTGCAGAAGTAACGCAACGGAAGAGAATATTGTGTACATATAAATATATAAACTGACAACATAAAAATATACAACAACAAAGATCAACAATCAAAAGAACAACAAATATGTGCGACGTGCCAGGTCTGTGCCTGACACGAGATGAAACAGTATTTACATGTGCAGAGACATTTGTATCATTTGCAAGGGGGGAGTGTCAGTACGGGATCCGGGCCTTGTTAATGAGGCTAGTCGCAGACGGGAAGAAACTGTTTTTGTGGCTAGAGGTTTTGGTCCTGATGGATGCCCTTGTCCCTGGCAGTGGCAGCAGCGTATCAGATGGTGATGGAGGAGGTGAGGATGGACTCAATGATGGCGGTGTAGAAGTGCACCATCATTGTCTTTGGCAGGCTGAACGTCTTCAGCTGCCGCAGGAAGTTCATCCTCTGCTGGGCCTTCTTGGTGAAGGAGGTGATGTTCAGCTCCCACTTGAGGTCCTGGGAGATGATGGTGCCCAGGAAGTGGAAGGAGTCCACAGTGGTGACTGGGGAGTCACACAGGATGATGGGGGAGGGTGGGGCTGTGCTTTTTCTCCACGACCATCTCCACGGTCTTCAGAGCGTTGAGCTCCAGACTGTTCTGGCTGCACCAGGTCACCAGATAGTCGATCTCCCACCTGTAGGCGGGCTCATCCCCACCTGAGATGAGCCCAATGAGGGTGGTGCCATCTGCAAACTTCAGGAGCTTGATGGTCTGGTGACTGGAGGTGCAGCTATTGGTGTACAGGGAGAAGAGAAGGAGGGAAAGAACGCAGCCTCGAGGGGATCCGGTGCTGATGGTCCTGGAATCAGAGACATGTTTTCCCAGCTTCACGTGCTGCTTCCTGTCTGTCAGAAAGTCAGTGATCCACCTGCAGTTGGAGTCAGGCACGTTCAGCTGAGAGAGCTTGTCCTGCAGCAGGGCCGGGATGATGGTGTTAAAAGCAGAGCTGAAATCCACAAACAGAAGTAGGTTCCTGGGGGAGTCCAGGTGCTGGAGGATGTAGTGAAGGGCCATGTTTACTGCATCATCTACAGACCTGTTGGCTCTGTAGGCGAACTGCAGGGGGTCCAGGAGTGGGTCTGTAATGGATTTTAGGTGGGACAACACAAGGCGTTCAAAGGACTTTATAACCACAGAGGTCAGGGAAACGGGTCTGTAGTTGTTTAGTCCAGTGGTCCTTGGTTTCTTGGGGACAGAGATGATAGTGGAGGCTTTGAAGCAGGCTGGCACATGGCGTGTCTCCAGTGAGGTGTTAAAAATGTCTGTGAACACCGGAGACAGCTGATCAACATAGTGCTTCAGGGTGGATGGGGAGACCAGCCCAGCTGCTTTGCGGGGTTTCTGCCTCCTCTAACACGCGTTATCTCACTCAAAACTTTTGATAAAACTTGAGAGCCCTGCTACAAAGCGTAAGCTATGTTACGTAGCCAGCTGGCTAGCTAGCTACTTAAACTTAGCTAGATGCTAGCATCCCCCCCATCATTGAATATATATGTATGCATGTCGACCAGTTAACCCTACAGTTGTGCTGATCGGCCGATCAGCTAGCAGATAGGGTAAACCTCCTTTGTGTTGCTTAGGTCTATAAGGACTGAACAGCGTGAAAAGACACGCAAAAAGCTTAAAATGCGTTGACATGGAACCTGAATTGTCCTTAAAAGTGGCATGTTATTTATTTGCTATTCCATGATATCACGTTAAATAGGCGGTTCACCGGTCCTGAATGAATATAGGGGCAACAATGCTGCTACTACTACTACTGCTCTACAACTATATTATAAATGTGGCTGCTGATGAACAGAAACTGAATGAGACACTCCCATGTTTCTGAAACATTTCCAGGGGTATTTAAAACTGCAGTGGAACCATGACTGAGCTGCAGTACAACAGGAATGCCACGTTTTTAATAAGGTGAACATTCTGATTGTATTGTCATAATGTGCATTAGTATTCAGCTCAAAACACTGCTGTGCTTGTGAGGTCATTCTTACCATTGTAGCAAATAAATTGTATTATCGATGTGCATCTCAAATCCACCCATTTACCAGTACGTAACATTGCTGCACAAACTTTGTAGTATCTATCACCATTGGGCTCATCATTATTCCACATCCTGAACCCAGCCTCTCCTTCATCACCATAGTAGTCCTGATTTTCCAGAGACCACTTCCATGCTTCAGTGTCACTGTGCAGTCCAATCCAGATGTTGTCATATCTGCCTATAAGGTCATTGAGCTTAGCCATGTCTTGCTCATTATGTACAGAGGCCAGGTCGGTGTACTTCCACCTGCAGTATCTCTGAGCTTCAGCCCAGGTCTTCACCTCTTCAACAAGGATGTAGATACGAGGATAAGATGCAGGTAGGAAACACAGTCCTGTGGTAATAATTAAGATTATTATTTTGATGCATTCAGTGATAAATACATTTTGTATTATGGCTGCCCCCTAATAGTTATGGTTTGATTTCATTGGATCAATACAATGAAAAGGTTTGCCTAATACCGAACACTGAACAAGTACATTCATATTTTTGCCTCTATTTTTTTTTTCTACCATTGCTTAGTTAAATAGTCAAAATGTGCTTTTTCCTCAGTGATTTGGAGAGACTATGGTGGGTGGGTCCGAGGCCCAAGAGGTAAAGGAAATGACATGCGTCCATTTAATTTTAATGGACACATATGTTTTATATTTTCTGTGAATATAATCCAATTAATCTTATTTCCATACTGTATAGACACCTTATTTTAAAAACCGGACGTTTGTCACATGTGTATCCTTGTGCTAAATTCATCAAGTCCGACCCAGTTTGATAAATAATGTTGTATGTGGTTCTTGTATCATGCAACGTGAAGACTTCACAGCTGACAGCATAAAGTCGCTAACCTGCCGGTCAGCTCGCTCTGGGCTGTTTCAGTGGATTTACCATAAGTGAATATGTGTGCACTCCAAATGTAGGTGCGGCTAGCTTAAGCAACTTCTCAGAAACGAGTGACAGAAACACTCAAAGCGGGTCAGACCGTTTGTTGCCTTTTCTAAGAAGTCAGCCACTGATGGAGTGGATGTACTAGGAGACAATTCAGCACAACAGTGTGTGCAAACGGCCATTTTTGTGTGTTTCTTGGACACTTTAAAACGCTTCAACACTGCCAACATGTCAATGTAATTGCTTGGTAAAATTTAAAGGTTCAGTGTGTAATATTTCTGAGGATCTATCAACAGAAATGCAATATAATATCCATAACTATGTCTTCAGTGGTGTATAAAGCCCTTACATAAAAAACCATTATGTTTTTATTATCTTAGAATGAGCCATTTATATCTGCATAACCGCGGGCACCCCCTTCCATAGACGTTGCCACGTTGCATCGTCATGTTTCTACAGTAGCTGAAAACGGACAAACAGCGCTACAGTGTGCGTTTCGTCACTACGTTCATCTTGTTCTACTTCTGGTAAAATTCAGGCAGTGCAGACACTCATCATTATGTTGAATACATACGTTAGAAGAAGTAGTAATAATATACTCCATGGGTCTGCAAATTAGTTTTGCATCATAGCAATATTTTCAACCATTAGATCGTGGATGAGAATATAAGCCATAATATTTAGCTGTATTAATATGCTGTTCAGTTGCCTCAGTTGGTTAGGTACTGAACTCTCAACTCAAGGGTATGCCGGCTCAATCCCACCTTTTTTTCTCTCTCTCAACAAATGGATTCTGCAGCGATTGTTTCTCACATTACAGGATGTGCTGCACTGTTTCTACGCATTTCATCTATGCATTTCCACAGTATCAGTATTTGCTAACTATGTGTTACCTGTGGCAAGTTAGCTGTTTAAGTTAATAAAGGAATCAGCAGGCTAGGACAGTTTGAATGATAAGTACAAAATGATCATGATCCTAGTGACAGTAAATCATGATGTCACAGCATGTGTTCCTGTTGTATGATTACAGGATTTATGTGATGAGGATTTTGTACAATATATCACTGAGCCTTTCCCTTTCTGTCTCTGTCTCCCCATTTTCTCCGCAGCACCTTTGCCTCAACCTGTCCGAGCTGCTACTAAACTCTGGCTTATATTTATTTAAATGTAAAACAAATACAGTGATAAAGTATTCGTTAGTAAACTATATACATTTGTACTTGAAAGTTTTGATGGAGTAAAGTCCAGTGGGCCAGTAGAAGTAGTGCAGTAAACAGTGCTGTAGGCTGGGAGTCCAGTAGCAGCCCGGATAGCAGCTGGAAATAAAAGATTTTTTGTAAGCTTGTTACGTAACGTGCACTAACGTTAACATACACAGCTAACTTGCCACAGGTAACACAAAGTTAGCAAACTGCACAGCAGACCTACCTGGAGATGACAAGGATAAACCTGATCCTGGATCACGAGCATTGAGTTAAATGAAGATTCCCCACTTTATTATTCAGCTGCTGGTTGAAACAAGGCTACAGTCCTTTTTTTTTGGTTTGTTGTGTCCTACGGATGAGCTGGATACTACAGTGGATATCCTGTCTACTCATGGGAGGCAATGTCGCTACCGCCCCTTGCTCGTGTAGCTACTAAACTGCTCTCACATTTACAGATCTCTTTTCACAGATCTCAGCGGGACAGATTGAACAAAATTCCACAAATGCATAAAAAGGAAGTCACAAATGTAACTTGACCCACAAATGAACAGGAAGTGATCCGCAAATGTGCAAAAACTGTTTTGTGTGTAAAAATAGATCCACAAATGCGTAAATAACACTTTGTATGTGACATATTTGCAAATCGCACTGTATTTTTGTGGATATGATTTTACACATCACAAATTTAAAAATACATATTTGTGGATAGTGACATATTTGCACATCATAGTACACATTTCTGGATTGTTTTCTGTGGGTTACAAATATTAAAGTCCAATAAAATCTTGCATAATCTGACAACAGGGAATACAGTACTGAGGTGATTTACAGTGGCTCAGACCAGGACTCTGACTCTGGGGATGACAGCAGGTTTAGGTGGGGACAGAATATGCATGAACCGGGAGAGGAGTGCGTTTTGAAGTTCATTTGTAAGTCATCCATCGTGTTGATTATTTTAAAGGCTCATTATTTCAGTTTTGTATTTCTCTGTAATGTAGCAATGTTAAAAATGTTAGAATATATTCTTTCTCAGCCCTGGAACTCAAATCATTTTCTGATGGCCCAAAAATATATATTGAAATAATTTATTTAATATCATAAACACGCGATGACTAATCAACGAATGGCTTAAAGTAATTACTAGTTGCCAGGAAAATCTTTAGTCGGGGGCAGCCCTACTTTGTACAGTGACTTAGAACATTAAATGTCATGTGCTTAGTATTAAAATATGGCAGCGATGAGAGAGGCATGAACAAATAAATAGTAAGGCCACACACAAAACAAATTTTGAATTGAACCACATTTCTAATCTGCTTGCTCACTCTGGGTTAAATATTTTTCTTGTCAATTTTACTACATCATCTTCTCCACGACACATATATTATTATTTATCCACTTATATTGTAATGTTTTTGTAAAGCACTTTGTGATTGATGTCTGTGAAAAGCACAATACAAACAATGTTTCATTTTCTTTACTTATTTTTTACAAATACATTTCAAAATAGACATTTGGATTTGATAGTGACTGATACTAACCTGATAAGACCATCATTATAACTCCAGCCCCTTTCATGATGCACCAGTGGACAGCTTGGTTGCACCTTGAACTGATGAGTGTAGCTGTGATAAACCCACAGAGAGGACTAAAGTTAGCAATAAGGTGAAATGCATCATGCAAACACAATGTATACTGAATCAATACAGGCCTTTACTACAGTATGACCAGCAGTGACCCACAATTGCACAAAATTTGATTACTTTACACGAGAGATTTCTGTGTTTGTGTTTTTCTAAATTGTAAAAAGGAGATAATGTTGAGCCTGATTGCATGTTTCAGAATTCAATTCAAATCAAATGGGCTTGGTGGTGTTAAAAAATAAAGCCAAGTGTGAAATAAAAATAACATGATTCACTATTTCTAAAATCTATTCAAAATACCCCAAACCCACATCCCATTTAATGCATGCAAAACTATCTCAAGGTAACTTGTGTGCCAATTGTCCTTACCTGAAATAAATGCCCCCTGTTTTGTATCTAGCAGCTGAAACAAATATTCTGATGCCTACTCTGGTTGTGTTAAGAGCCACAAACAAGCTTTCTTTGGAGCTGCACATGCTACTATATAAGAAGATCAGTTAGCACAACCCCCACTTTTAGCAGCTTGACCACGAAGGCACACCGCGAAGAGGATGAGTCATTATAGCATGTTTATTTAGCTAAAACAGGCCTCTGAACTCTGCTGGGAGAGAATAATATGACGCACTGAAAGGGACCTTGGATAACATTCCTGATTCACACAGGACATTACTACACGGACCTGTAAATGTTTTGCGAAAGCACAAAGTAACACCAGTAAGGTCTTAAGAGCATTGATCATACTTTATTCATCTTAATATTTCCATGGCCTCAGACAGTCATCATTAGTGGCTGTGTGGCTCAGTCAAATCTGAAAAGCCATGAACTGGCACGCAGGGTTGTGTGATGTGTCGTACTTGTTTCAAAGATGAAGTGGGTTTCATCTCAAAACATAAAACAGAACATATGTACAGTACTGTGCAAGGGTTCTAGGCAGGTGTGGGAAAAATGCTGTGAAGTAAGAATGCTTTTGACTTGAAGAATTGATGCTGTTTTGAAAGCAAAGTCACACCAAATATTGATTTCATTTAGATTTTTCTTCTGTTTACTCACTTAGCATTTTGTTAAATGATAATTATAATCTATTCACATGAATATTTTTACTTTATAGCATTTTTTTATATTTTTATTTGTACATTACCTATCACCTTTAAAAAAAAAAAAAAAGATCATGAAGGGTTTACTTGTTTCCTTTCATCATGAGCACGTTGCCCAACCTGTCACACACAGACTAGATATTATGATAAATGAAAATGAGTGAAACAGATTTTATGACTTCTTTATTATTCAGAATACTCCTCCATCGTAGGATATTGTCTTTCCAATGAATGACATGACAAATTAATAAAATAAAACTGGACATAAAAAGGGATGTGGCTGTGTTTCATACTGTTGCAGACACACACTCTAATGCTATTGTTGATGGTGACGATAGTACCATGACAGTGGTATAGCCCAATTTGTAAGCTTCTGGTACTTAAGAGAACTGAGATATGTTTGTTCATCTCTTTCGGTGTCTGGGACAAGTGTGATGAAACCAAGAAGAGTTCTTTAAGCTGTTGATGTTAGTGTAGCAGCAACGGGAGATGCAGTAGCCCAGGATGTGAGATGCATTTGATTCTTTAAAAACTGTGATATTGCAGCATACAGGCCTCTGAGTTCTTCACAGTTTCCTCACACCCTCTAATATGGGCAGGCTTTCTGAGCAAAAGCCCCTCTGTCGTCAGTATACCGGACAAGCATCAGTCAGTCTCTTATTCAGAACAACAGAGATAGCCCTCAGGATGACCATGCCATCCAGGACACCAGACAGCCAGGCTCCAAGCCAAAAAGTCATACAAAATATGTATAGCAAAGATAGCGCAAGATGGATTCTGGATGGAAAGGAAAAGTCCACTTGCTCAGTTAACCCATTCAAAATAGAAAAGACCTGAATGGGGGATTTAGAGACTTGGGTCAATTTGGATCTCTTCCAGAAGCAGGCAACTCTCCCGTTTGCAACCCCATCTCTCAAGTGGAGATCTTGGGAATGCTACATAAAATGAAGCGTCAGCCAGCCCAGACAGAATTGGAAAGCTGCAACTTTTGAGATGGGATAACAGCTGGGGAGAGAAGCTGTCTGAAATGTTTAACGTTATCCTATACAGTTGTGCAGTACATATATAGGTTGCCATGAACACTGTTATGCTCATCTGAGAGAGGCATCTCAGGTGGGAGGAACAAGAACAGGAGGCGAGAAAAGCAATCTAGAATATACAAAATGAAAGAGGTGGCAGTGCACCATTGAACTAGTCTGTATAACTTTAAGGAAGCCTTGCAGGCTTTTCTTCCGTTTTCTTTCTGTTTTCTTGTTATTTAGAGAGCTTAATATTGCTTTTAGTTTGATTTTGTAGACCAAGTGAGCTATTTTATTTCTAGTTAGTGTGGGTTTTATTTCTTATCTTAGCTTTGGAATAAAGCTCTCTGTTAATAATTTGTCTGTGAATTTTCATTGTCACACTTGAAGTGTGTCAGCTGCCTTTTCTTTATGTTCTGGTCCCATTTTTTGGGGGGGTGGGGTAAACTTGCTATGTTACTTCCTGTGTTTCCTGGACATTAAACTAAGTTTGGAACACCAAGATTATAAAGAACACGGAAACACTAAATTAGAGATGGGCAGATGAAGTTTTGGGGCTTTCTTTATCTGTGCGCTGAGAAAAATGTTTGAAGCTTGGGGGCCCTAAACTCAGCAGCACAGTGACACCTTGTGGTTTGCAGAATGTGTAGCAGCCCTTCAAAGTGGAGCCAAAGCACCGAACCACCTGGGTGATTTTATGTTGATTACTGAGTCTATATACGATCTATAGAGCATGGCACAAGTGCATTTAGGGCGTGTCCAACTTCACTTTTGCTAATTAACTGGTGCTTTATCTGGGTGCAAAGTAAGGGGCAAAGGGGTTGGATTTAGTCTCTTAATTAATCATAGGGGTGGTTTGGGCATAACATGGATTAAACCAATCAGAGTGTTATCTCCCACTCCCTTTAAAAGCCGGCACCTGGCGTATAAATAGCGGATTAATGGCGTATTTTAAAAAGTATTACAAAATATATATTAATTGATATATAAAATGAACTGGATGATTGATTTGTGGATAATGTAACCAATATAATGATGTGTAGCATGACCATACTGACAACAGTTTAAACATTTATATTTGTGTGCACAATCTAAGCAGCTTAGAACTGGCTCCAGCAGGTTGGCTTCAAGAGCTTTTTATACATCCAGAAAACCTCTATATAAACCAGACCAGGCAGCACGGTGGCCCAGTGGATAGCACTGTGGCCTCATAGCAAGAGGAGTTTGCATGTTCTCCCCGGGTCTGTGTGGGTTTCCTCCGGGTGCTCCAGTTTCCACCACCGTCAAAAACATGTTAGGTTCTCCACTCAGTGCCGTTTGACCAGTGACACTGGCTCAGATCTGTAGCTGGTCCCCGAGTGCTGCACAGCTGCTTTGCACAGCTCCTTTGAGGGATGGGTTAAATGCAGAGAATGAGTTTCATCACATATCACATGTATGTGTGACCTTACCTAACTGAGACCTGCGTTTATTTGTCATAATTGTAGCCACACCAGGAACCTTAAAAGTGTATATATGCGCACTATGCTGTCATTATATAGACTGAACTTTCTGCGGTGTCTCCCTGTGTGAGGGAGACCAGGGTTGGTTGACACACTTTTCGCTCTGCTGTATTTCACTGTCATAATTTATCTTAGAATATTCTAAGCAGCAAATACAAGATTAAGGCTATAAGTAAATATGTTGTAATGTAAGCAAATGTTTTCTGAAATTAATTATTCATGATTAAAGTTATGTTGGCCGTTTGTGCCAACCAGTCTCATCATTGGGTTGGGTAAAGCCCCACATTTGCTCTTGAAACGGGCCCCCAGATGCCTCAGGCTGCTCCTGCTGCCGCTGCGGAGGAAGCAGAAAAGACTGGATGACTTTGTAGTTCTTGTGGCACAAGCTCAGACTCGTCGAATGCTGCAAGAGAGAGCAGGTTCTCAGGAGTTGCTTATGACAGGCACACAGGCGCGTCATCCAGCCTCAGAACAGTTCCCCTCTGAAGAATTGCTGAGACACCTTGCCACACATTACAACATCCACCTACTGCTAGAGGAGATCACGGTCGCAAAGAGTTTCTTGGCCAGGAAAGACAAAGACACAATCCCTATTATCCAAAGCATCTTTTCCCTCCTGGATGGTGATATGTTCCCTGCCAGCAGCTCTACCTGTGACAGATCTCTCGGTGCCTTGTACTAACTGCATACTTGACTAAGAAGCACAGTGGGTCAGAAACAGCTCAGTCACTTGCTGTATTGTCCATTGAGAAGGAGTGACTGGCTGGTTTTGGACCGCAGAGGTCGCTGATAAATCTGATACTTCCCTCTTCAAAGCTCTGAGACAGACGAGGTGAACAGAAAGAGGAGAGACCTGACAGTGAAAAGGAAGAATAACATATACCTCAAGTAAAACCTGAAGAAAAAAGGAAACAGAATGAGAAATAGTGACAATACACACACGCTTTGAGATCATTAATCACCCATGAGGGAGGAGAGGAGGTGAGGACAGAAGCAGGGAGACAGATGTACTGACACACTGTATAACAAGATTATGCTACAAGAGTAACTTAGTCCTCATGTTTGGCACTGCAGGATTAATGTTTTTTTCTGTTCTTTTCTAAACTCAGCCTTAGAGGAGAGAGAAAAGAGACTAAGAGAGTCAATTAATCAGTGAGGAGAGGAGTGAAACACAAGCAATGTTCTGACACGCTGTACAACAATGGATGATTCTGCAAGAGTAACTTAGTCCTCATGTTTTGGCCCTCAATGGTATTTTCTGTTCTTTTCTAAGTTTTAACATGTGACATTAACATTCATTCATTTAGCTGATACTTTTATCCAAAGCAACTTACAATTGCTATTTATCAGAGCTCGCACGCAATCAATAGAGACAATGAAGACTACTTTTTTGTCAAGTTCATTTTGGTTATTGTATCATTAGGAATAGACAACCTGTGTGTCCCTTCCTTTGAAATGGCTCAATGCTAAAGTCTCTGGTCAGAATGAACAAAGGTTTTATTTTTCTAACATCTGGCAACTCAGTTTTTTCCAATTAGATTGTCAGTCAAGTATTTAGGATTTGCAAAAGTTTTACTGTTAGTGTGTAGCTCCTCACATTTTTTTTTTTATTTATACATTTTTTTATATTTTTCTCCACAATCCCCCTGCAGTAATCTGAACTCATCTCCTGATGGTTCCAAGTCCTTCAAACGCCCCTGATTTCATCTGTATTTGTAAAACTAATGAAAGCTCTCTTCTAAAGTCACTTTTCCAACTTTCTAGCTGTTGTGACCGCTGTGTAACAACCTTTCAGCGTTCAGTCCTCCCTGTGCCGCTTTTATTGGACATGTCCGAGCTAAACAGTTGACTCTTGATTCACTCGTGGACTCGCCTCTTCTGTTGAGCCTGGATGTTTAACTCGTTCTTCAAAA